ATAAAACTATTGACTTTTCAGAAAGATATCTGACAACATCATTTGGAAAAATGGGTTCTAAGGGATCCTCCTGCCACCCGTTTGTGCAAATTGATAGTTTTGCAGATTGATGGGCTCCTTCTGTATGAGAAAGACATGGTAAAAAGGACAAAGAATATCTTAAGGAAAAACAGATGTTACTCAGTAACGAAAATTATTTAAGTTTGAGGAAAGATTGGAATACTTTAATAAGTTATTTTCAAAACATACGGCTTAATCTTCCATTAATACTTGTAGGAGTTTCATATTTTCCAGGCTCTTTCTGTAGAATTCCAGACAAGGAGAAGGGGGGGGGTACGGCTGGTCATTAGTCAGGGGATAAAAAGCCCCGATTGTCATTAGATACGACTTTTGAATAAAGTTGGAAAAAATTAATTTTTAGTACAAAACGCAGGAGTTTTAGCGCTTCAAATACAAAATCAAGATGCCTTTGAGTTCTTAGTTGAAATGCAAAATTAAATAGCCTGTCACAGGACGTTTAAAAATTTTTATCCTTTATCATTTCTAGAGCAGACTTAACTATTAAGGGATATTTGATGATCCAAGGAAAGAGCCAGGGCCTATTTTAAGAAATTTTCAATACTGCACATTTTAAAGAAATTTTCAATACTGCACATTAATAATCTTTTTTTTTATAGGAACTTTTTTTGTTCCAATCAGTGCAAATCCCTGCAAACCCCAGGTATCTTAGCCATGCAGGTTTAGCGAGGAAATTGCCCGAATTTTGAACACGTGTATAGGCCATTACGGAGAAATCACAAACAGATAGACGATAATATACACAATCAATAATAACATTTCAAAACAGCAACAAAACAAACAGAAGCTACAAAACCTGAATAGAAACATAAGCCCTGTCCACACTACAAAAACTAACCCAGGTTCGCCCCAGGTTAAATTTAACCTGGGGCGAACTCTGTTTTGTCCACACTTGATTTTCATGTTTTGTAATGTGGACACAAAGTTGGGGCGAACCCAGGTTAGCTGACGCTACGCATGCGTAGTTAAATTACAACAACAACAAAACAACGACACAAAACAAATTTTCCATAAACACGATCAAGATGGAAGTTGCCGAAGTCGCAGTTTATTCAAATGCTTTCCTCCCTCTTCCTGACAAGTTGTTGTTGTCTTTAACTTTTTCTTATAAGACTGTTTTAGTTGTTTTTTTCACTTATCTGGATGTTGTTTCGCTCGTAGCCACTTTCTTTTTCTAGGCGCTGTGCCATCTTTTCGTAAACATGTTTTTTTCCTTGTACAGTTATCCAACTGTTCTTGAATCTTTTCGTCTCTCCAGATACTTATGAAGCTGAGAACTTCTTCGCGGCTCCATGTTGATCCACGATCTTTTTGCAAGTTTCTATATCTTGCCTGGTGTTTGCATGTAACGTATTTTTATTTTTCGGCGCGCAAAATGAAAACATATTCAAATATGCGCATGCGTTAAAAAACTAACTCAGGTTCGCCCCAGGTTTTGTGTCCACACTAGAAATTTAGAACACTAACCTGGGTCGAACCCACCTCTGGAGATGGGTTAAACTAACCCAGGGTGAACCCAGGTTAGTTGTGTCCACACTGCGAAATCTAACCTGGGTTAGCTAAAACCTGGGGCGAACCTGGGTTAGTTTGTGTAGTGTGGACAGGGCTATAGTCATTTATCTCTTGTAAACGGAGTCACTATCTCATGTTTTGTCTGGACAGGGAAACAAAAAAGTTTTATTAGACCCCGTTTACACTGTCCCGGGACAATTTTGTACCGTTACGGTTCGCAAGTGTTTACACTGTCGCGGTTCCAAATTGTTCCGTTTAGCCGTTCCGTTTACACTGTACCGGTACGACCTTAATTTAATGGTAGAACATTGTTTAGAAGAAGCTGTATTTTGTCAACCAAGGCTTTTATTTTGCCGCCGAAGTCAACAATCGAATTTTTATTAAGAGATAAAATAGAGAAGAAGGCCGATAAAAACTTCCCTTGGACGAACGAAAAGGTGGCTTTAATTTTCAGTGTTATTTTAGACTACAAAACTGCAAAGTCCAATCAAGGCTTGAACTGGGAAACAATACAAGCCTTTTCTGTGGTCGTCTTTTCTTCAGAATTTGACAACGTAGTTACGCCACAATCAAAGCCTCGATTACCTGAAACAGCCATACAAAAGACCTCTTTGTGAATCCGTGACAAAATCGTCTCGGATAGGTGTTTACACTGTCCCGTTCAAAAACGGAACCGTGACGGTACAAAATTCGTTCGCTTTCAAAGCAGGGTCAAAACTGTTCCGGATAGCAGAGCAAAATCGTCACGGTTCCACAGTGCTAGTGTAAACGGAAGGGCGAACCGCGACAGTTTTGTCACGGTTCCAAACTTGCACGGGACAGTGTAAACGGGGTCTTAGGCTCTTTAGAGTTAAGTGAGCTTCTGCTAGATGCCCAGAGCATGATAGGGCAACTGACAAATTATTACTGAGTGTTTTATCTTCGACAAGATCAAATTACGAAATTTACAGCAATGCTGACATTTACAGGAGATGTTTTGTTTTTGGTTCTGGGAATTTCGATTTGTTTTAAGTTTTGATAAGAGAGTCCTTCCGGTGGTTATACAAGAAATACAAAGGAAAATTCACATTTTGTGAACAAAGCAGGAATCTGGGATAGCCGCAAAAGGACATTTTCACAAATCCTAAAATTCAATACTGCACATTTTCGAAATCAATACTGTACATTTTTAAATTAATACTGAACAAAGTGTGTAATACTCCACACTAAAATAGGCCCTGGAAAGAGCATTATCATTCAAGAAAGGAACATGCACAAATAACGTAACGAAATATAGGCAACATTGGAAAAATTCTCTTCCCCCTAAATTATCATCTAATTTGCATCATTAATTGATCATTATGACCGTAAAAATCTGTGTGAACCCCCTCCCTCCATCTTTGATTAGGTAATATGTGAACGTTCCCATACCCAACTGCCAACGCATCGATAATCTTGTCCAGATACAACCTAATGCATTCTAAACAACAGGTTACACCATTCAATTTTTCCTCTCTTGGGTACAGTTAAATTTTAGCTGTAAGTCAGCGTTGTGAGTTATTTTTCTCCGATCGCAGTAGCTGTCTAAAAAATTCACCATATCTTTGAAACGCGCTGAGATTTGTAAGAGTTGTTAGATTCTATAGACTAAACACTGAAGCAACGACCGTCGTAGAGAAATCAGTTTTGTTGATTTTCTTGATTACTTAGATAAAATATGAATCAAAATTATGGACGAAAATTTGCATAAAAAGAAGCATAAATAAAGGATTTTCCTGGGAATTCGGAGCTGGAGAAATTCCAAACGTGGCAGGCTTAAGAAGGTACGTTTCAGAGTTGTTTAAATGTTCGCAACTTATCAAAAATGTAATTTTCGCAACATTAGATCTGCAAATTTTTTTGATAAAAAAGAAATTATGCTTTTTTGCTTTGCTCTCCTTTTCAAATGAATGTATAGCGGAGGGCTGGAGGGGGGGGGAGAGTGTGAAGAGTTACGTCATTGGCAGTATAATAGAGGGGTTCAGAGAGGTGGTGACACAGGGGGCAGGGGGCCTAAAAATCTTTAAATTATAGGTGATATCATTTATGTATGACCCTGTCATGAATGTCAAATGTCTTGTCTACACTATACTATCGAACCTTGTTTCAGCCTGGGTAGGGGTAGAGTGAACCCAAGTAATATTTTCTGTTGTGCAGAGTTACCTAGCCAAGGTTGATCTGGGCTGACTCGGCCCGGGCAGACTCGGCCCGGGCTGACTCGGTTCGGCCCGGGCTGACTGGGCTCGGCCCGGGCTGACTCGGCCCGAGTACTGGTTTCTATAAAAAAATTAGTGAATACAACATGCACCTAGTAGCATACCCTTCCCTCTACAAAGCGTTTAAATGCTTGATGACACTAAGCGGCACCCAAGTTTCCTTTGAAAGATTATTCAGCGCTACTGATGATTTCAAAAGAAAAGAAAACTTTTCACTTGATTACGAGCAAGTCATTGGCCAATTTGCTGATTCATTTGCACTTCTTCGAAAAGAGTTGAAAGTCTGAGAATTTAAATAAGTTTTGATCTTGATTCTTAACTCTACATGGGATTTTAAAGCCTGTTTACACGAGAGGAAAGGTATGGATCCAATCGGGTCCGAATTTACGAATTAAAGTCGATATACTGCTGCTGTTTAGCGTATTGCTTTATTATCAATTTTTATTGAATCAATCGTATTCTAAGCCACATTTTAGTGGATGTGGCTCAATTTTTCCCGCCACGCCCTAAACCGGGCCCTTGAGTTTTCTAGCCACCCTGCGATTTTGACGCCAGACCGCCCCTGAGTGTGGTTTTGAAATAGTTTAAAAATATCAATGATCATATAAAATCAAAAATTGGTTACCATATTTAGATTCTGTTATTAATAATTATCCAAGCATTGAATTACGACCTATTTTCGGCTTTTTCTAGAGTTTGGCCTAGATATTTCATAGCAGTTTCTGTAAACAAACAAAGAAAAAGTAACTAAATCACATCTTTGTACAAATGTGTTAAGAAATTTATGCATTGAGTGACTAAACATTGTTGCTGGATCCGTTTTAAAACAGATCAATCATTATTTTCTGGAATTTCGACGAGACAGAAAACACCACAGCAAGCACTGCGACTGTAAATGCTTGGAATTTGCGAACGACGGCTTATTTTTCCAATATTAACATCATAAATTTAAGTGCAACATAAGGCCACTCACCAAATTTCACATCGATATTCGAAAGAGAAGTGAACGAAATCAATCCTTACTTTTACCAAATTTATGAGGGCTCGGTATGGAGCAAGTTCCTTTTTGCCACTATTCAAAATGGCGGAAGTAAACAAATTTGCCTCACAGCCACTGATCTAAAAAAAGAAGTTTTTTTTAGATCAGTGCTCACAGCGGACCTGTGAGTTAAACACGAGGCTAAAACAAAATTTCAGATTTCAAATCAACATGGATTTGTTCGCCGAAATGAAATCTAGGATTAGATAGATGGAAAGACTGAAGAAATATGGCCGTTTTCGGCTTTTTATGTCAAAATATAACAATTATTTTGTATGGATGTTCTGCGGGGTTCTTGCAATAGCACAGATCGATTTCATTTACAAATCGGTGACTGGCCAAAGGCCTAAATGTGAGTTGGCGGATTTTGTTACCTTTTCGCATTTCGTTTTTTTTATTTTAAAATGAGAGAGAGAGTCATCAAATTAAGAAATTATTTTATTCTAGAATTGAGAAAATTTCATGCATCCCCAGCTTGTTTGCATTGAAAGATTAAATCGAGGTATTAAGCAGGCCTTGAAAAAAGATTCTTCTTCATGGCAGCAAAATAAACAGTTCAAGATTTCCTGCATAGCTTCGGCAAAGTTTCCAGCCACTGAAAGTGATATTTTAAGTTGCTTGATTTGTTTAAACATCTGTCCTAAAAATAAACTGCCATACTCAAAAAGAACTCATTGCTGGTCCTCGATTTTTGATAATAGCTATACGAACAGCAAAAATTTTTTATACTGCATTAGATAATCGAGAAGAATGTGACCAAGTACAATACTCATAGTTTGTTTTCAAGGTTAAAGTTAGTAGATCTTAAAATCCATAATAACTTTTTAAATTTTATATCAGTTCTAGCAAACTAGATACTTTATAAGTTTTGATGTATCCTACATTTTGCTGTGGGTTTCTGTTTGCTGCCCTTTTTATCATCAAAGCCAGTAGTTCATACAACATGTAAGAATACTATTTTATTTTTCAATGGCTGGAATTACTGTTTTAAATCAGGGTTGGTGCTAAAGGCAAAGATGGAAGACCAAAACACTTACTTTTTATAAGGAAGCAATGAAAAATGTATGCAAATGCTAGTAGAAAAGTACAAATAATAATAGACACATCCACACAGGGTTTGGGGCATGTTCACCTTCAAAACAAATGACGTAACAAGTGGCTATCTTTAAGTGTTTTTACTTATCTAGAATGGCTAATGTAGAAAGAGAAATGAACTTTGTTTTATCTTGCTTGAATTAAATTAGTAGCTGAAAATCATGCCTGGTAATTTGGTTTAGCAAACGCTGATAATACCAGATGATTGTATTGCGTGTTAGTAGTGGGGAACAACAATTATACAGTATGTGTATATATCACAAGAAAGCAGTGTTCCATAGAAAGAGGGTAACATGAATTTAATATTCATAATAAAATCGAGCAATTGAGATTTCATGCTAAAAATTTCTTGGCAAACAGTAACAATTTCCTGCAAAAAAATTCCTGGCAGCACCACTGTCCAGCATTTTCCAGCCCTGGTATTCAACACTCTCTTCTACAGCCTGATCAGGACCTACAGCTTAATGATATTTTGTAACATTTGAAAATATAATGCTTATGATTTTAGTGGACAAAGAGGAAGTGGAAAAAGAGAGGGAAGAAATGGAAAAACTTGTTACAAGCCTGAAAAGAAATCTACAGGTCTTATTTGTTTTATATTTACATTTTAAATGTAACAGTAATACTTTATATTCTAAATTGATGTTATTTTGTTTAGCAGCTCTGCAAGATGCAAGCTAATCTATTGTTGAATTACTTTTTAGAACCTGTTTCAGCATAAGGAAAGAGAAGATCCCAATTAGCTATGAACATCAAGATACAAACTGGTTTAGGCCAACTCGGTTTTAAAGCTTGTTCTTAGAAATGAAAAGACAGACATCCTAGTTTGAAAATTGTAATTTTTTGTCAGTTGAGTTGTCTATTATAGCTGCAAGTCTGTGTGGACAGGCCTAATCATTAGATTCGTGAAAATTATGATTCCTGTTTGCAATTAATTTTTTTTCTTTCAAACTTTAGGAAATGTTAAATAATTTAAAAGTCTTGTGTATGACTAGGAAGTGGGTCTTTATTTGTGAAATTTTTTAATAGAAAAAGACATGTGTCATAAATTTCTTCATAAAACAAAATACCTTGCTTTTCAGTCATTTTTTGCCTCTTCTTCTGTGCATTCCTTTACATAAACTTGTAAGTTTCATTAGAGAAGACAGAAGATTTTTCTAATAGATCGCTTTTTCACATGATACATTGTAATCTTATACATATTACCTTACCTAGCATATCTAAAGACTTTTTTCATAAAAATGTTTATTGGTCCTTTCCTTCAAAAAAAATTATTGGTAATACACCTGTTTGGTAATTTGACACAAGAAATTGAAATTTTTGTCATTATCAGATGTTATTAAGTATTTGCATTGGTGCCCTGAGTGAGACCTGCAAAATATTTCCAAGGCAACCTTTTTAGCAATGCGAGGGAATTAATTTTTCCACATTTCAAATACCACATTCTCAATTAACAAATGCAAATGAAGACTAAAACAGCAATTGGTCTCCTTTTAAAAAGAATGACAAAAAGAAAAAAATTATGTTTTTCCCAAATTTGTTAATAACAAGTGCATATTTAACATTTCTATATTTGTTTTCGCTGAAAAACCATAAACACAATATACAGCCAGTTTTTTATAAAGGAGAAAGGCAATTGCTATAGAGTACATGATTATTCAAAACATTCAATATTGATATCTAAACTCTGAGAAACAACTGTTACAAAAAACATTGAACAATGATGCTGCAACATTTTTGGTTAGCTGCTTCTTGCTACTTTCTTCAAAGATTAACAACTTGCAGCTGAAGAATTATTTACTTCTACTTTGACAATTTTCTGTGATTTTTTCAGAGTAGATACAAAATATATTGCAGGACACCTTAGGGAATCTATGGTTTGTTCAGATGGTGAGCATTCTTGAAAAAGGAGCAACAGAGAATGCAGTAGCAATGCCATCTACCCCGGAGTGGATGAGTAATGGATGCAACCCATGAGACCACACCCATTTTGTATCGTTTCAATGCTTGATACCGAGTATATTTTGCTTAGGCAAAATATAATCTAACTTTCCCTACCTAATGCATTTTTATCAATTTTCTAGAACAATTATGTTAACCATGTTTTGACAAAGTGGAAGGGGGGTAGTAACCCCTCTTCCATACCCCCCCCTGGTACTGCTTCTACAGAGCAGTTATGTTAGAGTGGACTAAAACTGGAGAAGAGGAACATGCCCAGAACTTTGCTTAATTGGTCTAGGAGGAGATACTTTTTAGAGGGACATGCTTTCATCATGCCATTTATAAATCACATTGTTAACAAAAGAAGTGACAGGAATAAACTAGAAGGAGGGGTTGTTAGGTAAGAAGCATCAGAAGCGTTCTTTAACAAAGGGACAAGAGGCCTAACACTTGAATAATTTCAACTAACCAGTTGCATAAAATACAAGGAACATGGACCAATACAGTCAACATTTTCTACAACAAAACGACTATATAATTAAGTTGTTGTATCTACTAACAAAACGTTACATACCTGGTATGAAGTTACCAAGAAACAACTTTTTGGAATCTACTGTCTTGCAACACCACTGAAAAATTCTAAACTACTGAAGGGTGGGGGGGGGATAGGCTAGGAAACAGGTTGGGACGTGTTCTGTTGTCAGAAATTCCTTAAAAGTTTCTTTTATTTGAAAACAATTTGTGCTTGCCTTTAGGTACTCAATAATTCTTTCAAGAAATTCTAGCTATTTGCCTGACCTAAAGTTGCATGAATTTCCACGGGAAGTTCTAGAAAAACTTAGGGAACCTATAGCACAGAAACAGCTATTCCCATGCTTTGTATATTTGAACTCAAATACGACGGTGGCAATAAACAAAATTACAGGGTGACCAAATTATTCATTCTAATATCAACAAATGTATTTAAATTTTCTAAAACGTAAATGAACAGTAGTCAAATTCACAATAATATACAGTGTGAAATGTTACTTTTGGCAAAGCCTCCATTTCAACGGCTGCTGAGGTAGCAATTTCTAGCGTAATGTCCACGGTTACCTGAAAAAAATGAGGCAAGAACATTGGTGATGTCGATAATTTGCCTAGCTTAACAAACCTTTATAAGTTCTCGCCTAAAGTAGAAGACAGGCTAGAAATGAGACATGTTAACTGTTACTCCGAGTTTCGTGCTTGTGCACTCATCAGACAGACTTTTGCACATCAAGCACTGTTAAGTCAGAATAGACAACGCAATCTGGAATAAGTTTTTGCCTATATTTATGCAATGGCACTGACAGCACACGTCAATCCAGGGGCGTTGTGGCTTTGTTATACCCAGGAAAATATTTTATGGGAATAAATTCTTTTTGTGAAATAATTATAAAAACTCAAGCTCATAGTTATGAACTAGAGATTTGACATAAAGTGCCCGGTGAATGGGCCGCGTGGAATTTAAAAGGAATGAAGGTTAAACAGAAGGTGACCCGTTAGTATGAGGCTTGGGCCACCTGATGGAAGGGCCTTAGTTTTCGAGAATACCGTGAATTCAAGAATTAGCTCTTGGAGGCTTATTAATGAGACAGTATAAGGCGCTTATAGAAGCAGAAGAGGACTGGCCCGGGTGGCTAGCCCATGTGGCTATTTAAGGGGTTAAGTAGCCTCCTCTTACGTCACGTAACATTTTATTCCAAACATAAAAAGCTGGTCAATTTAGCCCTGTTTCCAGTCACGCTCTGCTTACAGTCGCAACTTTTCATGCAACACTTATTGTGACTTTAAAAGTCTTATGCAAAAGCAAAGAGATCTAGCTGTATTTGAGCCTCGAAGATTAAAAAATATCGAAGAGCTGCATGCACATGATAGAAATACCCTTTCAAAGAACTCCAGCTTAGCAAAAGTTGACCGAAGAACTCTTCAAGAAGTGTTTTGTTCAGGCACGGCGCCACTGGGGGAGGGGTTGTTTTGACTGTCTTATTTATTATTCTTAAAAACAGAGTATGAAATAAAAAGAAAACAAACAGGTTATATACTCCTTGTTTGCATCGATTCAGTAGATAACTATCTGTATCATAGCACTGTCTTCATTTTTAATGTGTAAACATGGCCTACTGAAAATACTCGAGATAAAGAAGATGCACATTTCTGTTCAAGAAGTAAAAGTCTCTCAATCCATACAACAGCTCCTTGTTATTTACATTGATGTTCACTCTGAACCAAAGGTCACCCTTTCTTTCGTTCCCCAGCGTCTGTCACTAGAATTTTAGCATCACTGCTCCCTCCCAAATTTTTCCTAAATTTCAATAATCAATGCTTGTCTGAGAATTGTCGAATCGTCTATTCTAAGTGGTACAGTAATTTGTCAAATTTTAGTCCAGGAGATGTATTTTTAGCCATTCTAAAGGTTTAATTTAAAAAATGTTCGTTCCCGTCGGACGAAACCATGATGGGTCTTCATATGTCACTAAACTTAATACCTAGCCCCCTAGTTTCAAATTTGTGGTGACACCCTGTTATTGTGACATTACTATTTATGCTATTTCACCCAACTGCCCCCTTTTGCACCAATAGCAAAAAAATTGTTTTCTGGAAAAACTAAAATGGGCCCCTATAAGGTTATTTTTTCCCGGCCCTCTTCCAGGGGCCGCAATGCTCCTGCGCCAATCAACATCAAAAAATCGAGATGCGCTTTTATCTAATAGAAGCAATCTAGACAATCATAAACGGAGTCGTATGGGCAGGGGTGTGTCGAGGAAGGGGTATGGAGAGTGTTACATCCTCTCTTTTGAGAAAGCGGTCGGTATGTTAGGCTTTACGGTAAAAGTTGAAGTTAAGATCTTTACTTGTTGGTAACTTTGAACTTGTTATCGTCTAGAAAGTTTTCTCATGAAATTATTTGGAGGTTTTAATGAGGTTTGATATACTAAAACGTGTTTTGCGCTGTTAAAAAGCTTCTCTTATCGTTAGCCACGGAAAAGGGCAGTAGGAAGAGAAGGCTGCAGCAGGGCAGCTTTGGCAAACAGTCGGAAGAATGTCATATGAAAAAGAAACCTTAGGAAGATCATGAATTCTTATTCTTAAAATGAATATCCACTGGCGGAAAGCGATGGTATTGATCGACTTCTTCCTTGTTTTACCTTATGCAACGGCAACATAACTGCATAAATTTTCAAATCTGGCACAAAATTTTCAAATCTATTGATAGGCACAAAATTGGCACTGTCCCGGTCTTCAATATCAAATAAAGACATAATTTATGGCCAGTATTGCAAATTTCCATAGCCAAATTTGGCCCTTGAAGATTCAGATTTTAACTGACGAAATCTGAGCAGCAAATCAATCAATGTTAGAAATTGGTAAATCCTGAGAGAGCATTTTGATTGTGTGGAAATCTAGTATTCTATTTACAAAAGTGAATTGCTTCTCGATAATACGATAAGTATTCCAATCTAAGAAATTTATGTCGCTAAAAGGTTCGTTCCTCTTCTCCTTTTTACCCACAGCAAAAGTTTGAGAATTTTCCGACATAACAATGATATTTTCGAAAATATGTCAAATTTTGAAGCAGAGGGGGCTCCCTGCCCCCGGCCACGATACCCCTGAGGTTATTCTTAAGCTTTCAAGACATTTCCAGTCGTCTCTGCTCTTGGTTTTTAGCATTTTAAACCCCTCAGTCTGTAATATGCTTCGTGGTCCTTGCATGACAGAATCAAAACTGATAAGAGTATGAAGCCTAATTACGATAAAAAGATTATAGATTTTGCAAAGGATCTTTCTTGTTCTAAATCGATGTTGATAAAGTGCCAGACGCATTTCCCAGTCATTCCTAGAATATTATTTCAGTCATATTTTCAAAAACTTTATCTTCCCTCTCTCGACTCTGACTTCAACCTATAAAACTTTATCTTCCCTCTACCGACTCTGACTTCAACCGACTCTTGACTCCAAATTATATCTAAATAGTGACGTACCGTATAATCGCTGTTATGCAGTTCAGTATAATCGCTGTTATCACAACTTGCCCCCACCTAATTATTATTGTAATAATTATAAGTCATTTCCTTACAGTTGGCTCTTTACAATAGCCTATATAAAAAGTTCCCCCGCTTATTTTTTACGAAGAAATCTCCACCCCCCTCTACCGCTCTTATTAAGACCCTCCGCTTATTGAATTTCAATTTTTGTAGCAGAGCCCTTCAAAAAAGGTGAACGACTGAGGTTGAGTCTACCCAGATAAGGAATGAGCACCCTCATTCTCAACAGTTTTCTACATTTAGCCCATTCTAGCAGATCTTTTATAGTAAGCTTTATTGAGAAGTGTTCTTAATTTTGCTGAATTAGCACCCACTTGTCTAATTTTCCTGTGTGTCAAAATTTCCTTTAAGATGTCTGAGTAGTGCTGCCTGTGCTCCATTACGGTCGGATACATTACACCAAACTTCCACCCCCGCTTCTTTCGACCCCCCTCCCCGCTGATTGAATTTTAAGAAATCTTCCAACCTCCCCCCTCCGCTTATTAGGACCACCCGCTAATTTGGGACCTAAGAGTACCGCTGTTTTTCATGAGGGCATGTTTTTGAAAATTTTGTATAGCGTCTAGACTCTTTCTTAACAAAGTTGTTTTGAGAATTGTGTAGATCACCTGACAAAAATCATCGAAACCTGTCTCTAAAGATCACGACATCGACCATGGATGGTGTTATCATCAAGCAATGAAGCTCCCTGTTCTGGATAAATGTTTTTAACGCCAATTCTGTACTTCCATGTCAGAAAACCCATTATCAATAGTTTCCCTGAAGAATAAAGGTCCTTCTGAACGCCACTGCCTATGGGGTTCTGGAAGGAAGAGCGGGGAACTGAGGCAGGAGGCGCAAGACCTTCCAAATACAGATAAATGGATAAGATACATTAATCGTTAGACAGCTGCTTAATTAGGAAACTAAAGTTCCATTTCAGTTGCGTTATAAAGCGTATGTTGTACTTTGCGCAGTTCTGTTGTAGTACTCGTTTGAAAGAAATCTGTACATTTCCACATTTCTATACAGGCAAATTAACATGCAACTACACTATAGATACAAACACTTTGTTGAAAATATATTCAGGTGTATTGAAGAGAATGGTTTGAATTTTTGCATGGATACGTACACCCCTGTGTAACAAGCCTGGTGCCCGGTGAGAGGCTAGCCAGAAAACATGGCAGGGGACAGAAATATGAGAAAAGTTTGTCTAGGGGAAGGGATGTCGTCCAAAAGAGGGAACTTGAGACTGGCTGGGGACAGAAAGTCTCAGCTTGCAGGGAAGGGAATGTGGGAAACGGAAGAACGGCAGGGACATTCAATTTTTTTCGAAAAGGGACTCCCTGGCTAGAGAATTTATCGCCAGAGGGGGATCGACCATGCTTGTTAACGGGTGTGTGTTAAAGAATCTGGACCACAAACCAGCTCATATACCTCGTAAGTATTAATGAAATGGAGAACCTACAGAGAAAGTACATACCGCAAAGATAGCAATTTCCATTCCAGACCCTTGACTGCTGTGGTGGCTGTCCTCCGTTTCTGCGTCCATCGTTGGTTGGTCGTCGTGCATCACGACCACGGCTGCCACCAGTGTACTGGTCCCCTCTGTGAGTACTTCGATTTGTGTTGCCTCTCTGATCATCAGCTGTGTTTCTACCGGTTGGCCCATGGTTTCCTTGTCTTGCAAAATTGTTGCCATGCACAGAGCTACTCACATGCGGAATCCTGTTTGAAAAAACTTCATGAGTATGAGCACCGGGTACAAACTCAGTAAACCTGTGACCTTCCTCTTGGGCTGGTCTATTATTCCAAATACGAACGAATCCTTGGTTATCCACTCCTCTCAGTGGCTGCGGATCCACATCAGTGACAAGCAACTTATCAAATCCTTTGGCTAGGAGGAAAAAGTTCAGAACAGTGTAAAAAGATTGCACTAGTAAACATTCAAAAGCAATGTACACAAATCGATCTAAATTATCGTATGGCAAGTTTGTTGGCATTATTTCATCTCCCCACTTTCTGAATGAACGTTAGTTCACTAATTCAACTTAGAAAACGTTCAGGTTTTACTTGAAACTGCAGCTTGCCTTGCACCTCTCGGTTACAAATGCTACCTATCCTAGGGACAAACCATAGGCATTGGTCTTGTTTTCAGTTCACATTTCAAGCACTCGCTGAAATCAATCCACAGATTTTGAACTTCGACAAATCTCGGAGCAGTCTCGACACAAGACAACTCGCGTTAGCATAACAGAAACTTGATTTGGTACTTCAGATTGGGAAAACCACACGTGCTCAGACTTTGGATGTCATTCACAATCCAAATTTTTCCAATGTCACAACAACCGTTAAAAAAATTATCATAGATACCTTGGGGAAAATACTTCTCGTTAACGAGCCGTTCATTATCTTGCTATTCCTCTTAAAACGTTAAAGCTTTCCTTTAACTCGTTGATCTTGATAGAACCTGAAAAGCAGTAAAATTGGCCTATCGAATGATTTTTACAGTTACAATAAGCTACTGCAAACAGTTGACCTGAAATTTCCTCTGCACTCGTTCTCTGCACGATTAAAAAAACGGAGAACTTTCACTGCACTCTTGCTTGTCTGACACGAAAAAAATAATTCTGTCTGACACGTCCATTTTGAAGTCTCATCATATCAAAGTCTTCTTTGAATAGTAGTTGCGATTGTAAACGGCTTTGCAAAAAGGCTGACCTTGTAATCAAGACTACGATGTCAGGCCAGGATAGGAATGAGGAAGGCCTTTCCACGACCTTGTGTCTATTTAGTCGGCTTAACTGCAATAAGGAATTCTCGGATCCAACTCAGAAAAATCGTCGCGACAGTGCGGTCTACAGCCAGCCTGCACATAACACATACCAACTCCAACTTGTAGCAGAAGATTCTCCTAATACCGGAGCTTCTCCTGACATACTCAGCAAATGCAGTTGAAAAGCTGAGATACAGGAAAGTACTCTATGAATCTATTGTCATACATAGATTCTCAAGTCTTATAGAGACTGACTTCGGGCTCTCAGCTTGGAGCAGAAGTTAATGTTTGAAATTTTATTTGGCGCTTTATTGGTGAACATATTTCAACTGAATCACTAACGATAACACAGACAAAGACTCGAAGGTAACTTCCACTGACACTTACTATGAACAAATCCTTCGAGGAAAATTCAAAACGTCCAAAAATAACAAAACTTTCAACACGCAGGAAATTTTAAAACTCAAAAGTACGCTTCTTCTCCCCTTGAACATTTATAACTGCAAAGAAAAACAAATGCGAAGATGCAATCTTAATTAAAGGTAGATTTACATTATGTAAACACGACTATTGCTTCCGTGCTTATGTTCTTCAAGCAACAAGAAACTCAAATATTTCAACAAGAAACTCAAGTACCTTAAGCACTGCTAGTTGTACATGAATGAATAATTTTGATGCCTGACATAAACTTCCACAAAAGCCCATAATTGCAAACACGAGGAGAGCATCGAACGTTGTTTTAATACACCACCTCATAAACATGCAAAATAGAGACTAAATTTTGATATCAATTTGGTTGAATTAAACATAAAGAAACAGAGGCAGGACTTTTATTTTCAAGTTGTCTTCTGGCAAAGTATGAGATATTTTGCATGTAAGAGGCAAAAGAATGAATCTTATCACTGTCACAATCTCATTTCACAAGACCATTAGCTCTTCGATTACTCTCACTTCACCTGGACATTGAAGCCTTTCTCTTACCTAAAAAATTGTTTAGCAAGGGTAGCGGAAGCAGGGGGGGGGGCTAGGGGCTCAATTATTTCCAAAATATACTTAAAACCGTACAAAAAATCATCTCGCTCTTGGTTTTAAGCATTTCTAGCGTCCTTAAAACTGTTTAATCACCTTTATCCGTAATATACATCGCGGCCTCTATTGTTGAGGATCAAAAAATTTCATTTTACCCTTTCATTGATAGGGAGATTTTCAGTCAGGGTTTAAAGAACTTACAAAAAAACGCATACATTAAACCATTAGAGTTCGACTTAAGGAAAAACTAATGAAAAAGAACTAGGGACACAGAAAAACAAAGTTTCTGGCACGACAGACTTTAGCTGAGACATAAAATGACGATCCAAAGTTTTCCTCGACTGAGGAACATTAAGCTATTACGGACGTCCTTTTGAGAAAAACAAAACAATTTTTTATGAGACAAGTTGTTCTCAAAACTGTTGATAAATGTTTAGAATGCATGAAACGTTTAAACTTCAAAACAGACGGTGGTTGTGCTTTTTACAGAAATTCAGAATTTTTACAAAGGTCTCTCTTTCAATAGATACAAATATATTTGCGGATACGGCTAAGTTGAGTTTTAGCTCATTAAACTCTGCATTAAATGATGACTGCTAATGGTTCCCCACTAAACACACGTTAATTATTGCATGATTGCTTTTCATCTAGAAGACATATGATAAAAATGTCAATCAACTTAAAACAATGACTGAACAAATCCTGCTGTCTTACGAGGGCTATGCAATGCAATACATTTCAAATAAATTCCAAAAGATGGAACGTAAAAGGGTGAAATATCGTTTCATAAGGACTCCACAAAAAAGACAGCTCCCAAGTAAACTGTTGGTTTAGTTGTTATTTGATTATAAAGAGGATAAAAGTAAGGAAAGTTAAGGGGCACTGTTCAAAATTCCAGAAGCCTTACATCCTTACCTCGGTCTAAATGGTTCTTACTTAGGGGATAACAGTCATCTCAATATATATCTAAACAAAGTTACCATCCACACAATAGCTACCTAGAGCAACATATTTGATAAGTCCAAATTTATTTTCATGTAAGTGTAAGCTTTCACTGCCTTTTATTTTTATGAATATCTATAATGCATTATTCTGGATGTAATTGCTCAAGAAGAGTTTAAACCCATCACCAAACCAATCTTTTTGATATATCTCAACTAACTTAATGAAGGGTCATGCAAAAATGCTATTGCCACACTTATAACTTTGTACGATCCAAAATCTATAGTTTCTGTGACCATTCTGCAACCAGCAGAAGAAAATTCAATTTTAAAACATTAGGCAATATTTTCTGTATTGTTGCCAGCAATAGCTGTGACAAACTTTGGAATTGAATTTCATTCAAAAGGCAATGATAACTCCCTATAACCCTTTAATTCTTTACAGGGATATAGCTATTTTCAAACATAAATACTTCTGAATGAATCTATTTACAAAGAGAGCTTAATAACCGTTTTAAGACAAGGAACTAAAAGAGGGCAAAAGAAACAAAGGTATAGCCATTTTACACCCTTTATCAAGAAATAATGATGTAAGGTATACCTTTTTCTGCCTCTCTAAGTGCAATTCTCTGAGATATTAGTCGTTCTCTGTTTTGCTTGGTTTCAATATCTGCATTCTCAATCATTTTACTTATTGCACTATCAAGGACAACAGATTTGACTGCTCTTCCAGTAATTCTTCCCCTGCAAACAGGGCATTCTTTCTTTTTCTTCATCCATGATCTCAGACACATTTCACAAAATGAATGGGCACACGTAAGTGTTACTGCATGCACAAACAACTCATGACAAACCATGCACGTGAACTCATCCTCCATTTGCTGTAATACCAACCGCTTTCCATCCTCTTCTGCCTTTTTGGTTATTTCTTCCTGCCTAAGTAAATCCTGATCTTTTGCTTGTATTTGTCTTCGAAGCTCTTCTAAACAATTTCCTAGTTGTTTTTCATTCTCTTCAGCATTTTTTAAATTATCAAGCAACTTCTGATTCTTCTGCATTTCTGTTTCTCGATTATTTCTCTCCATTTGCATTTCACTAAGAATATTATTAAGAGCTTCTCTCTGCTTCTCTAATTCCTCTTTATATGTCTCATCCTTTTGAGTTAATTTGTCATTCAATTCTTTATGCAATTTTTTTTCAACAAGATCCCTTTCAGTTTCAAGAGACTTCAATTTTTCTTCAAATTTTTCCTTCAACATTTTCTCTTTCTCTTTCAATTGGTTCTCTAAAAGTTCTTGCAACTTTTTTTCTGCTTCAAGTTTTTCATTTTCAAGCTCTTTCCTTTGTTTTTCTAACTTCTCTTCCAGATCTTGCTCTTTCTTTTCAAGCGTTAAAGCTAGGTCTTGATGTGCTTGTTCCCTGTTTAGAAGCTCCTTTGTCAATTCTGTTATCTTACTTTCTTGCACTTGTATTTGCTCTTCAAAAGCAGATTGAGTATCTGTTTCTGAGTGGGAATTTGTTGGCCATGTATCACTTTCACAGCGTCTTTTACAATCAACATCATCATTTTCAACATTTTGCCTGCCTCTTTTAAGCTTGTAGTCTTGTGGAACCTCTTGGAAAATATACTCAAATTCTGGAGTCTTGCTATTGCCTACAGCAATTCCAAATGCAACCTTATCGCCACAAAACAATGGAAAAGGATCATTTGCTTTGATCTTTATCCCATTCACAAACACTCCATTTAAACTCTGAAAAGAAATAGCTAGAGTAAGCAAAAAATAAGTTCAAAACATCCGATACACCATCATTATCACTGTACCTATGAAATTTTTAACAGCAGGAGAACCATTAATATTGATAGTCAACATAAAGTGTTACAATACATATTACACAAAAAATACTTTAAACACAAATAAACTACACATTGACAAAACTAAGAAAATACCATGGGATGCACTGACTGTCTACCATATTGCCAATATGCAATAAACAACTAAATATTATACACAAATAGCACAATGGTTGTGTGGCTGAGACAGATGTGAGTTTTATAGATAACTGCAATGCTATTTTGTAGATACACTTATTCAGCATAACACCAGATACATAATGCATAATACCCAGTGAAACTTTGTGTTCAACTCAGAGTATTAGACACCTCCAAATGATATCCAAAAGGTGAGTGGAAATATATATCAATAAATATGTAGAATTTATGTAATGCAAAAAAAGATTCTTTTGTTTTTTATCACTCAGTGACAAAAGGCCCTCATATAGTGAAAAAATTCAGAGTTCTTCCTTTCTACACAATCTGATTTGGTATTCAATCTGCAGTAAAGTTATGCCATTCTACCTTTCCAAGAGAAAAACAAAACTGCTATGATATATCTAATGAAAAATGTAAAAAAATTAGCTATTTTTGATTTAAAAAATCAAATGGTGAGTCAAATCTTTTCAAAAATTCTTCATCATAAAATTGGGGAAAATTTTTTTTGCATGACACTACTTTTCAAAACTTTTTCTTAAATGCAAAAGGCCCAGGTCTGTTAAGACACAATGAGAAGACAGTTTCTGAAAGATAGCTTAATTGTAGACAAAATGCAACCTTGTCCTAACTTTCTGTTGAATGTCATTTTTATCCGTTTTACTGTACAAATTATATAACTATTAAGAGATTAACAGGGATTTGTTCCACACCAATTTCTCCTCTTCCTACCAGCAAAAAACCTAAGGTTTTGTTGCTTCTTTGTTGTTTATCCTTTTTCCACACACTTATGCTTCCTTTCTCTAATTCTTTTCTTACAAAATGATGCCCAGTTTTAGGGGTAAAAAACTTTGTTGTAATTTTCTCCATGCAAACAAACACTTAAATTGACAATGGGTCATTTCAATCAATGGCAATAAAGACAAAGGCAAATTTATGTAAAAAAGGCAACATGTTTTTCTTGAAATCAGGCATTGGGTTTCGTCCATGCTTTGGACCATGCAAAGAGACAAAATATTGTCTGCAGGTATGGCATCTGACACTGTAGTTGATTTCCCATATCTTCTGAATAATTCAAAAAAACTGACTTAATGCCTTAATGAAAAAGCAAAGAATTTGTTGGCTACAATATATACGAGTAAGGCTGAAGGAAAAACAAAAAGGAATGGTAGCTTATTACATTCAGAATCCCTGGAATTTGTTTGAACAAAATTTTCCCATTAACTTTGAGCTAAGCTGGGGTTGCAAAGGCATTTTTCTCTAGACTAATACTTGAGATTCTATAGCAATGTATATACCTTAAGATATTATTAATGTATAGTTAAGAAACTTGAAAAAAGTATAAATTTGCAAAAAATTGGAAAGGTTGACTTTTAGTAGAGTATCAGTCTTTTATGGCCACGCACTACCATGCCTCCTTATTTAATGAAAATTACATTATAGGTATTTTATTTTGATTGAATCAATAGGTCAAGAATTTTCCCATTTCAGAAATAGGGAGAAAACAAATATTAAAGAAAGGATGTGATCAAATTAATTGTTCCCTCCTACATAAACAATGCAATTTTATTTTTCCAATCTTTGACATTTGTGTCGAATCAATGCATTAATTTATGCAAAATATGCAAGCAGGTTTGTAATTGTCCTTGGAGAAGCAAAAACATTAGGTACGTGCAAAACATTAGGCCAGCTGATATAAGGCGCTCACTTCGTGGTCTGTTATCATCCACTTCCCATCCCTAAACCCAATAGTTGCATGCTTCCTTGATATCATTAGAGGTGTCTTCCTAGAGACAAGTTGGATACTAACTCCGCTGCCAGACCTCCCGAAAGTGAACGGTTTTTCTATTGGCAAGAAAACAGTGTTCGGGCAAACAGGTCCGTTCTTGTCAACAACCGGATCCACCTTGCGCAGCCAGCCTTGTATCTCACACGTCTTGTAATCTATATCTTCACTCATCATACGTCACGATTAAAACACAAGTAAGTTACAAGTAAAAATTTATCACTGTGCATGATACTTTCATTCTTGCGATGGCAGGCCGTCGCCTCGTCGGTAACTAAAGTTTGAGTGCAAGGTAAATATGCAGGAATAAGTAATTTGAATCAGATCATGTGACTGGCTCCATCGCAGTGTCCTCGAGAGAACATCTTCCTTTCAAGTTACTGTAAAATAACGGACTCTGTGATAATAAAATACATAGAAACTATTTTAAAATTGTCTTTAAAAAAGCAAATTGTTAGAAGCTAAGTTTTTACGACTCTAGTTAAACAATTACGCGACCCTAAATCACATGAATTTCCCTACCAGTTCTTCGAGCAAGCAGAAATGTGGCTCTATTTTGAAAGGTCTATGTCACGAGAAAAGTGATTATCTACTTCTGGTTTTGAATATTTCTATCATAAGTAAACAATTAAACTGCACTGAGGTGCAATAAAATACTCGACCTTTATTTTTAGTTGGTAAGAATTCATGCAAAGACATTTATTAATTTATGTCTAAAATGAAGCCTAAAAGCTTCTTTCTTTATCAAGGTCAGGGGAGCTAGCGGTCTGGAGCACAGGCTAGGTCAAGGTCACAAATATATAGCTTGATTAAATGAAATTTAATCACGTTTAATATGTGACAGGGTACGCCTTTTAGGTGCCCCTTGGGCTTTTGTTTTTGGGCACAGATTGCACAATTGTGGAGTTTGTGTTTATTGTAGCAGTGCTCGAGTAAGCTTTACATTGTGTTTTTTATACGGCTAAAGCAACCAGCGTGCAAGTGTGCATTGGCTTTGGGTATATAAACTTTGTCTTAGGTTTTTCCTTTGCGACCCTGCCCACCGAACCCTTGTCTAGAAATTTTCAGGGGTTTTTATTTACATGCATGTTGACTTTCTACTTATTTTCGTGCATTAGTTAATGGCCGCATGGCTTGCGACTTTTTGCATGAACAAGGTGCTGCTAGTCGGCGGAAGAAGGCCATTGTTCTTCTTCTCAACCCCCTCAAAAACGGTTGGGGTTTTATTTATGGCCGTCTTTGCGATTGGCGCACCGACAGCCCAAATCTAAATGGTTCAAATGATGAGAGAACACCACCTTCAGTCTTATGATTGACAATGGTAAAACAGTCTGAGAACCATCCTACCCTTATTTGCTAATGGTTTTTGTTTAGTAACCTGGAACAATTATTAAAATGTGGTATCATCAGCACAATCAGAGGTATTGGAAAGTTACTGGTTGTTTATATGATAGTCTTTCTTAATTTTGGTAGCTGAAAATATGTGAGTCTTATTCATTTGGAAAAATAAATCATTAATATGTCAGCAGTTTTCATCCAAGTAAACTAATTGTTTGGGCTATTTTTAGACTTTCCAAATGATAGAGCACCTCTATTTCTCTCTTTGATTTTACTGAAAGAAGAGGGAGCCATTTCTAAATTTCTCATGCTCGTAATGTTCAGACAACCAAGATGAAACGCAGGGGTGGTGTGGCTAGGCGGGACACCGAAGCACTTATAAGGGACTTCGTAAAACACAGAAAAATACTTTATGTAAATTAAATTTTATAGTGAAGCCCCTCCCTCCCCCTATTGGAGAAAGTGCTAGTGTTGGGTCAATTATGTAACAGTTTGTGGCTTTATAATATCTTGAATGTTTCAGGCTTATGAGCATTGGGAATGGAATTCTCAACTGAGCATCCATAATGAAATTTTTATGTAGCCCAAACTTCGAATGAACAGAGAAGACGCCTTGTTTTGTCAGGACAACTTTCATCTTTTATGTTAAGTAGAAGATAAGACAGACATATCATGAAATCGTACTTTGATTCTTCTATACTTTAGCTTTAATATAATTAAGCTGTGATTGTGATATTCTACCCTGTCAATGTTTGAACTAATTGCCAGACATATCATTTATGCTACTTTACCTAACTGCTGCGATGGCACCCACATAAAAAAAATTTTCATAAAAAATCAGGCCCCCTGGTAACCATTTAGTCCGGCCCTTTTATACGAGCCACAACGCCATATGTGAGATGTATACTCTATTGAGACTTTAAGAGAAACTCGGCTGTTTCTAATATGGTTCTGTATTTTTATACACAAGAGTTGAAAAGTTGCAGAAAAGAAAACTTTTTAGTGTAAGAACGAGAGTAAAAGTAAACTCCATGGATAGTTTTTTGTCTCCAAATATTACTGTGACAATGTTTAAGCAAGAATAAAATTTGCACTGAAAATATTACCAGCGGAATCTTTACAAAGAAAATTTCAATATTATTTTCCTTGATTTTTAAAATAGATGCATGTCAAGAAAACTGTCTATTAGGTCTAGAATCTAGAGGAAGCTTTACAAAGAAAATTTCAATATTATTTTCCATGATTTTTAAAATGGATGCATGTCAAGAAAACTGTCTATTATAGAGGAAAATCGACCAAAAGTATATTCGGGACAAGAATGCATCGTGACACGTAAGGCATAAGGCCAAAACCTCAAGACCAAGTTTTCTCAAACCAAACAAAGCTAACAAGAAAACTGAAGAGCAATAGCGCTGTCCTTGCACCGTGCCTTGGATTTGACGCAAATCTTCAAAAGATGTACTTCTGTCGGTTTTACAGGTGTCCTATGATTGTTCGTCAGCTTCCTATTTATGTTTTTAGATGTTTTTATAGCCTGTACGGTCAAATAACAAACAAACAAGATGCTAATAAACAAATCGTAATGCTAATTTCTCACAAACTGAAATCAAGACTTTCCTTGGTCTGTTTCAACCATTACTTCCACGGATTCCCTGAATTATAGATCAAATCATAATTTTTTTCTGAAACCAAAATTGCCTTAACTTATTTAAGCAGCACAGTGGGAAAGATTATTCTTATCCAATACTTGACTTTTAAGACTGGGCACTGATTGGGCAACCTGAACAGTCACGTGCTTGCGTTTCAATTGACCTATTCGATCCACAACTGGGTATATATATTTCCTAGCGTGGAGTTTTCGATCTATATTCTGACGCTTTATACTCTGAAGTCTCAGACGAAAAGCTTTAGTAACTTGTTTCAAAACGCTTGCTTTTATTCAAGGCCACTTCATAGATTCTGACAAAATTCTAAAAAAAAGTGTTCAAAGGATTGTTACATGGTACCCCATTGCTCATAATTCAATTCAAATTCAATTCAATGATCTAATTTCATATTCAAATGTCAAACACAAAGAAACAATTATCTTTTAAACATATGCACAAGTTTTTAAAGAATGGTAAACCCTTTTTTCAAACGATTTTTGAGCCGTTATTTCTATCTGTCGTTGGATTATTGGACTCCCTTATTAGCGAATTTTCTGACGAAAAATTTCCGGAATTACATTTCTGGGACAATTCAGACGGTTTCCTTCTATCAAAGTAATGTTCCCATTATGGTCATAAAGTCACTGCAGACTGGGTTTTATGAGAGAAGCTGCCACTATTGTATTTGTTGAGAAAACGACCAACAAACACACGAAGAGTAACGAGCCAAATAATCAGAAAACAGGTCCACACTTTACTTTCATCGCTCTTTCTCGGCTACAACAATTATTTTAGCTACAAATTGAAATAACCATTCTTTTGTTAACTAATACTTAAATCACACTTCACTGTGCATCGCCTCAGCGTTGGGGAAAGGGTTAATGCCTTTGGCCCCTTCCCCAACCCCAAGGCTTGCCTTAATAAAACGACGTCGCCAGTCCTGCATTTTTCTTTATGAGATGTCTGAAGTAGTTATAGTAAAACGGCCACAAGGAAGACCAAAGACGACCTGGATGCAGACAGTAAGGCAAGATTTGGCCGGCATCGGAATTAAACTGGATCTCTCAAAAGAAGCACAAACATTGAATAGATTATCTGACACAGGACAGAAAGAACTGGCTCGGCATTGTGAGACGCGTCGTGCAGTATTAACTGCGTGTAACGTCTTAGTAGTAGTAGTAGTATATCTTACAATACATTCCTCCGGTTCTACAGTGATTATCTGCAAATCAGTCTAGTTCAAGGGGGATGGGATTTTACAAGAAGGCAGCCCAGTGATGACACATGTTTTAGGGGGGGGGGGCATGAAATCCAAGGGCGCAATGAATATATCCCACGTGCCTGCATATTGAATTCAGATTTGCTGATATTCGAGGCCAGATAAATACACTTACTGTAATAAATATATTTTACGAGAACATAAGCTTGAACACTATAATCATAAATAACAACCATATCGTTGATTACCAATAAATATAAAGCTATCAATAAATAAAATTACTTCAATAGAGATCTCTGTAAAAGAATATAAATGACGACATGGCGACGAAAGCTACATCAATCAAAACTGTAATGCCTGGTTGGCAAGTCAAAATCATCAAATGTGTGAGGCAACCCTCCGTCCTGTTGTCAAAGTGCATGCGCAATAATGGTTTAATTGTATGCGCAAGCTCTTTGATGACAGGACGGAGGGTTGCCTCACCCACCAAAAGACTTTCTTCTGTTCGTCTCCCCAAAAATGTTGTTAGACAACAGTGTCCCATGATAGCAGCAACGGGAAAGTCACTTTAAAAGAACCCTGCAAAAACTGGTTTATTTCACTGGCTAAGTAGGCCATGGGCTCTGAACTCGTTTCCTTAAGGTTTATTGGACCTAACCAGGAGACTTAATATGATCTTTTGATCAGAGGAATCTCTTGAGATTTCTCTTAAGGCCTTCTAGTGCGCTTTATTCAAAAACTTCTGGGTATTGGATTGGTAATTTTCTTGGGGAAAATGGTTGAAAAAACAAAAAAAATTATCAAATGAGCTTAATCTTTCTAGCTTCCTACCTACCTATCGCTTTCAAATATAAACTGAAGACCTCTTCCAGAGAGCAATTTGTTGTCCCTTAGAACACTAGGGATACACACAAGGGTTTGGCTTGCACAACAACCTCAGTTTACATAAGCTAACGAAAGCAACTTGTTAAACATATTTTATGTTACATGGGTAGCTTTTTTGGCAGAGTATTTTTGAATAAATAGTTATAAGACAATTCATTTACTCGAGGTTGAGATTAGAATACACCTGGAAAGCAAAATGCCTCGCACAAAGAATTTTAAAAGTTTACTATAAACTAGAGATATACTTCCTTTCTGAAACTGCCAAATGGAACGAAAATCAGTGAAGCCACTCGTATATGGATGGTTCTGATTTGAATGTCTATCTTTTGCTGCCAGCTGCGGCAGATATAGGAGGAATTGGGGGGAAGGTTTGAATTGTGTATGGCATAGGAGTGTGTGAATTATCGAATAGAACTGACCACACCCTCGTTAAATTCGCATCTGGCTAAATGCATATTCGCAATGATTATCACAACGAAGAAACAACAATGGCTAAACTAGATCTGTGGGCCTCTGCCCTTACTTCTAATATGGCATTCTTCTACAGAATCATATTTACACATGAAAACAATAAATAAATATCTACATTTTGCAAATAATTTTACTCTTATTCTTAAAAACATAAACATGGGAAACTTCATCCGTATGGAAGATAAACCTCGCGGCGCAAATGAAGATCTAGTCCTCGCAGTTTACCTCCAGACCCGTATGGAGGGTCATCGAAACATTCCTATTCAAACTAAAAGCTGGGTAAACAACATCAGCATTGGCCAGACTGGGGAACGAAACTGGACCTCTCTTCTCACCATTACAATAAAAAGTTACTGTATTTTCATCTAAGTCAATGAGCAGTCCTACTGTTGATCCAGCCTCGATTCCACCTTCGGAACGAAACAAATGCTCGTTGTTATGTTGATACCAGCTCCTTGTGCTATCAACATAAACAGCCCAGGCCTTATCGTCACGCCCAAGAATCACGTCCTTCGCAACATCCTCTTGTGCAATACCAAAGGCTGGATCGGGGTTGCCTTCGTATCTGTCTACTGTCACTTCCCAGTAGTGTTTGCCACGGCTAAACCCGACATCACCAAGAACAACTCGATTCTCAAAACTGTTGCACGTCATAACCATGTTTTCGCAACTTATCCTGATATCCGGGTGGGCAGTGGCCGCGTCGAGATTGAAAACTGCCACTGCATTGAACAAATAATCATTTCAAATTCTAAAGCTAAGCTGAGCCCAAACATAAAGCGCATAATTCCTACTTATGAATCAGAAGTCAAACCTGGAATTAAGGTGCCAAAGGAAAAACCTTGTACAATTTGTATATGCTGATCCAAAGCCACGATCATATGTCAAAAATATTTGCTAGCTTCATTTCCTATCACGTGGGCAATAAATCAGGGCTTTATAATGCTTTTTAAAGTACAAGTCCTACGATATTGTCAAGGAAAATCCTGTAGAATTACAAGTTTTTGTTCTGTTAAGAAACTTTGGACAGGCAAATTATGTTTATGCACGAAATCGTGTATCAAAGCATCAAATAGAAATTCCAATATCAACGTGGCCTAATTGTTAACTTACCATCAGGTGTCGTTAGGTAAACAACTTCGCTTGGTTCCCCTTCACCCGCTCTATTGAAAGCCCTTACACGAGCCCTATATGTTGAATGAAACTGCAGCCCGCCAAGACTGCAGAAATTCTTGTCCGTTTCATATACTACTTCGAAGGATCCACCAATGCCGTCATCAATTTCTATGAGATAGCCATCGGGAGAACTCTTATCCAACATCCTCCACGACAGGACAATATTATTATTTGTTACTGAGCATTCATCAGGGATGATTTCTGGCACTCCAGGGCCTAGAGAAATGGACAGGATCATAAAAATTTTACATAATTGCCCAAGTAAAGCTGATGTAACAAAATATTCTAGCATAGTTTATAAAGCATTGAATACACCTATCTATCTTAAGACTGGAATACACAATTTGCCTAGTGCATTCCAGCTTTAATTAGAAAATTATTGCATTTTAATTAGAAAGTTTAATAGAGTCTCCTATAAAGACTGAAACTTTACAAAACGCTATTTTGAATTTTAGATCTCCAAGATTAAATACAAGACATGGACAAAACTGCTTCATTAACAGACGAACATCAGTTTTAGAACTTTTTAAATAGAGAAATGAGAACTTCTAGGACATATGACTCGTACAACTTATTTTTGTATTTATTATTATTTTCATATATCAGAAAACTGTAAATAACACCTGTTATTTTGTTATTTAAAATGTTACTTATATTTTAAATTTAACATTGCAAGTTTTTAACATGATACCCTGTAAAACTGAAGGGTCACCTTATGGAAATGATTAGGAAATAGATGACATGAATTTAAGCTTTAATCCAAGATAGGATCGTCTATTAACGGGCAGTTCAGAGCAGTATTCAAAATTTCTTCTTACAATGTTCAAACTTGGCACCATGATTTAATCTCATCAGTGCTAATGAAAATGTTGAACATAAATTTTAGCATTAGATCCACAAAAAACATCTATAAAATATTGACTAAGCATGCAGTGCTGCACCAGGATCAGAATGGCTTTAAATGTTACAACATGTCATCTGAAGTTAGTAATAAAGTGCAACTGTACCTTGGTTGTCATATAGCACGAGAATTCGTTAAGAAAATAGCTCTCAAAGTCTTAAAATTACACCAGACCAGCAACAATCTGAATGGCCGGGAAAGTGAAACAGTTGGCTGCAACTGCTCTAAAGATAATACATATAAAGCAAGACCATTTGGTAACCTTACCAGTCAATTCTGTGAACTGGAGAGCTGCAAGAGAAGCAATAATTGGCGATGGATCCAATGTGAGCTCGATCTCTGGCGTTGAGATTGGTCGTAATGCCCCGTCGCTTTCCCAGTCTTTTAGGTTCGTGCACAATCTATAAACGGTTTAATTTTATCATTAATGTCAAACAATGATTAAAATAAACTAGAGGAGAATAAAAAAAGACCTCTTAGGTATAACCCTTTTTTAGCTTTCCTTTTCTTTCCATAATACCATACGATGGCCTAGGGGTGTGGCGCCATTAAAATAACAAAGGGGGGGGGGGCACTCGCGTAAATTGTTACAAGAAACAAAAGCAAAGGTAGGAATTGCTACAATTATGCATCAACAAAGGGACTCAGCTCCCCTGAGCTCCCTAACACTACATCCCTGCGATGGCCTAACACACTAACAACGAAGACACATTAGTTTTAATCAAGCGACATCTGAACCATTTGGATACTGCTTTTGTTACTATTGGGGTTGGAAGGAGGCAAATGGGGGCCAGAAAGCGGATAAATGGGTGCAACGATAGCAATTACTTTCTTAATTGTAAGGGCTTCAATGCACCTCTAATCTCATGATTCAGTCATCCCCTGAAAACTATTTCTTTCATCTTGCAATCACGAAAGTAGATGTTAAACACAACGATGTTTAATAAAGCTGGCGAGATTGGTAATGATAGTCTGTGGTGCATTTGTGTGGTGCATTAAAGACATTGAAGACTTGACATTCTTTATAGGATATAGCAATTTATAGTTTTGCTGTTCTTTCATGCCTTAAATCACGTCAACGTTGTCTAGCTTATCCAAAAGAGACTTTGACATTGGCGGATGCTTTGGAAATTATCTCAAGTTCAAAATAATATATAAACTAGGCTATTGCAGTTAGCTAACAGATCTGTATATACGGCGGAAACAAGATAAAATTTTCAAAATTTCATATAAGCAGATACACAAAATTAAAAAAGATATCTAGAGATTAAGATAAAAAATTGCATCCAATAGTCCCGTAACAACTACTTGTGTATTAATCGTAGGCAATGACAACAAATTAAAAATAAAACATCTTAATACAGATTTGTTTAATTGAAAAAGCAAACATGACTAAGACAGGAGTTAGCTTTTCTAATAAGATTTAAGAAGATTCTTCTACGTTCCTTGATCCGTAGAGAAATCAAAGAAAAAGACGGCGTTATGAAGGAAACAATCAATTACACCAAATTTAAACACGAAAGGATTTTAGCGATCAGATTCGGGTTAATCCAGTTTTGAGACGCCACTTTCCCATAACACTGCCTAAGAGCTTTTTTGATATAGATTTATATCAACTAAAATTGGCAGTCACAAAAACACCTTGTTGTTCCAACGGGCCATTACTTGAATCGATTTACAGAAGATTGTCGCAAACATAATAATAAACTATGTGGGTTATTAAAGTAGATATCTTTTATGAAGGGAGCCCATGTTGACGACTACAGAATAATTTTACAAAAAAGTGGTGCTCTTTCATTTTGCGCTTGAACATGGTCGTAGTGGATGTAAAACGTTTAGGGGGACTTAGAGTGTGAATCATGCTTGATTGATATTGCTTTAGTGAGATACGCGCATGTTTTTTAATAAGAAACAGGTTATAAGAAACTGTAGGCTTAATTTTTCGAAATTTAAGAAACAACCCTACCCAAATTGAAAAAAGCTAAGAAACTTTTATAGATTGCAGTTTTAGTTTTCCGAGTTGACACTTGAAACAGTCTTGACATTGAACATCACTGTATATTGCAACACTACACTTGACATGCAGTTTGCATTCATTCTCAGTAAATTGCACACTCAAGAAGTTTGCATTTAAAAGTTTGTTTTGACTTCAACTTGACATTGATGAATGACATTCAATGAGCTTAACTGTTTACAGATATCAACAGAGTTAGTCATTCTTGGAAAACAAAGTTCCTTGATCACTTTGTTAGTTTATCTCTGAATGTGAGTGAACTATTTACTTTACACTGGAAGCACGTTCAAAAATTCATTACCTAAGAAATTTAAGAAACGTGTAAGAAACTTTTGATAGCAAAGTGGCCAGAAAATTCAAGAAACTGCCTTCTAGCACCGGACCTTAGTTTCTTAAAAAAAACACGTGTAGAACCGCAGCACAGGAATTGCCCGAATGGAGCATGAAATGAAATAATGTTGTGCAGCTTTCCCAGGCCCTACGTCTCCTATACCCGAGTGTTTAAAGGTCGTCTCTTTGGTAACATTCAGCAAGAGATCTCAGAAAAAAAAGAAAATCCGTAGCAACTGAACTTACCAACTCCGCTGTCAGAAAACAGCCTGAATGTTTATTTTAATAAGTTTCTTATTACATTGGCAAGGAGATGTAGTGAGAAAACATCATTCTATCGTTCTTTTCCTGCTAAAACATTTGAGAATCTTGCAACTTTTTTCCAATTTTACACTTATACAACTTCATTATTTGTAAAAATGACAATATATCACTATATAGGAGTATGTGTTTAATATACGGTTACACATCTTCAATTATTGTATAAAAAAGAAGATTTTAAAGCGGTCTAGTAACTAAAAAGATTACAAAAACAGCTTACCTGTTATTCAGTGGATTGGATATCTAAAAGAAATTATAAAAATTGTCATCAGAATGCAATACGTAGACAAAAAAAATCTAGAAGCAATGCTTTCATGAGAGGCAAATTCGGAGCCTGATATTAGCAAAAGTGATTGTGATTCCACGAGAACAACTGATTTGTCGAAGCTGGAAACTAAGCTGGAGTCGATGCTGGAAAAGTGTCAGATTTTCTAGATTGTCGTGCCAAAATTTCTAACAAGAGTTAAAAAACTAGATGTCATTGAGTTTACAGAGAAGTTCGATGATCTACCACTACTGGTTTTATCAAACAATAAGAACCAAACGTTAATAACAAGATACTTTGTTTTCAAGAGGAATTTTTTTGGATCAAGCCTTCGCAATCAAGAGAAGGGTTTCAAATTCTTTATGAAGTAAGAATTAAAAATGATTAAAGATAATTATTATGGAATAGAAAAGACTGAAGCTCTTTTAAAATCAGGAAGTCAAATATTTCCCAATCAAGCACAATCAATACATTGTTGCTGCTGTCATTGTTATTATTATATTGTTGCAAAAGAATGGCAGCTTGAGAGCAATGAAATTCTGTCTTTTTTCACGACAATTCAATAAGTGACATAACTATGATTAAATCTATGCCCCGCTGAAGAACCACTAAAATTTGTTGAAGGATGTGACAACTCCAAGCTTAGTAATAAACAATAGACTATTAATATATTAATGTGCGTTCCTGAAAATACGTGCGGAGATAGCTCATCGTTTAATTTTTAATCAAGTCTGAAAGTGAAGAAATATATCAACTCTATCTGGTTTAAGCTTCCAGCTTCAAGAAAATGATATCTTTTGATGGAACTTGCGATTAATTGTCTGATGTTTTTCTTACGGCAGATCGTGGTTCGAAGTTAAGAACTAAAACATCTGAAAACAGGCATATATTTTACGTTGAAGACTGTTTGACCAATAAAGATGTCTGGAAAAGTTACTCGAATTCCCAAAGCACCTGTCTTGAATGTGTTAAATCCAATTTTGATAAGGAATGCAACAAAGAACTGGATTGGTGTCGTCTGTTCGAGATCATTTTGATTGGTGACTAAGATCGCGAACAAGATTACCAAAATAAGACAAAACGTAATGTCCATCAATATCCGAAAATCTTCTCCTAATATCATATAATGCCCCTTCAGGCCTATTCGCTTGCAAAGATACGGTTCCAATTTTATAAAACCTTTAAACTTAATTAAACTTAATTTAACTTCAAACATAGGTTCTTCAACGGATACAGACTAATCTAAGTGGAGCAGAAACATAACAACTTTGATGGCATGCAATGGAGGCAGCGTTTGGACAACGACCGATGCAACAACATCGCTGGCTTCTTTAAAAGGTCAAGAAGGGGTTTAGAGGGGGTCGAGAAGGGGTCGAGAAAGTTTTGCTCGCCAGGAAGTTTATTCAGGTTTAGCGAGCAATTTGGTCGGCAGATTTTAAACTGATTGCTGAAAAATGTTAGATGTTCCTGTCTTACAGTAAGAAGTGTAAAGGTCAGCTTTTTCAGGCAGAATGAATGTTTGGGGATAAATTCCTGTCCTATATTCCTTTTGTTATATTCCTACTTTTTCTTGAGCTTAGGCAATCAATACATGTGCAGCTAGTTCAAATGCCTGCTCACAAGACTGATGGATTCTAGGACAGTTGGACTTATTATGGAGAGGCGTTTTATAGATGAACCTATGATTTATTGGGAGTGTTTGTACACAGCATTTATACTTGCAATAGCTTCTTTCAACTGCAAGCTAATTTCATTACATAATACATGCGGTTCTTTCAAATGACTCTTAATCATTCTTAAGGAATAAACTATAAGATCTTTTCACCACACGAGGTAATGCGTAGAGATCAAAAGCATTAGCAGTGCATAGTGTTGCGAAATGAGCGCATCATAACACCGTTTTTGGTGATGCTTATTAAAGCACGACTTAAATCTCTTCTCTTTGGTCTCTTCACTGACGTGAGATCTTAAGCCAGCTATCCCTGAATTGCTAGCTAGCTCGACATTGAAGTGCATTGATTGATAGATAGCTCGACATTGAAGTGCATTGATTGTTAGATAGCTCGACATTGAACTACATTGCCAAATTCTTGTTGCATGATCATTATTGCATGTAGTCAACAACTGAAGAAATATGATCAAATTTGACAGTGAAACTTGCAAAATCTTTAACTAAACAGTTGAATCCGGTTAAGTCGTTCACTTGAAAACTCTGATTTTCACTACGTTGAACTGTTTTACGGTAAGTTGGACATTCACTAAGTTAGACCAGTGGCGTAATGGAAGTATCTGGGGCTCTAGGGAAAAACACTAAAATGAGGTCCTATTTACGGACTACAAGAAAGTCCCATCCAACGCTGTAGGACGTGCCAAAATCAAAAGCGAAATGTAAGAAATGAGAATTTTTCTCCTTCACGGAGGCGGGGGAGCTAGAATAAGTTTCAGTTGACAAAATTTAAAAGTTTTGAAATGAGCTGAACTTAAAAAACATGGAGCTTAAAAAATGATCCGGGGGTCACCTTTTGGTCAGGGGCCGGTCTGCAGAGTGTGGCACTTTTCGACGAGATCTCCGGTGTGCACGAACAAAAAGCCTGGTGTACCGGTGTGCACCACCAAAAATGTCTGGTGTGCTGGTGTGCACCGACTATTTCCCCTGTTGTGGCTAAAATTTGTGAATTTGCATTTTACCCTAAAAATGCGTGTGAAGTATTCTGTTGAAGATAGCGCAAGTTTTTATTTGTATATTTGTCAAGTAAGATTCATGATATCTCAAATTGTTCATACACGACTGTGCTTGTTTTTATCAGCTGACATTTTCTATGGGACCACACCAAGCCACACCCATCTGAGTTGCCACACCCAAAAATATCCGGTGTGCAACAGGTTTTGCACAAAAATATATCCAGTGTGCACATGCCATACTCTGCAGACTGGGTCAGGGGCCTTTAGTTATCGAACTAAGGTGCCCTAAACTGTGTTACGCCACTGAGTCAGACCAATTCTTTACCTTCCGTCTTAACTGGATTGGGCAGTATAATTTTTGGTAGCAGAGAAAAAATGGTAGGAAAATCATATTTCAGGAAAATCAGAATTGTGACCCAGACAGCTAGCTTACAGATGCAATTGTATCTATAGCGTGGATTTGAGCATAAACGTTCATACAAGCAATGAATTTTGTCATATTCTCTTAAATGATTAAACATTTCCCTTCAACATCACTGCTGAAAACTGTGAACACTATGGAAGTATAATTATGCTATTAAGGACACCTTGCCACAGGACTCACATGACAGGAAAGATATGTGTTTCTAGCAAGGAAACGACGTCCTTTAGCATAAAAGATAATTTTATCTGGCATTAAATATATATGAGAAGGAACGACAGACGTTTTGAAACAGGTCACTGCTGTATCAAACACCAAAAGATTGAAGTACAGACACAATGGCTGTCATGAAACTAGGAAATAGATGGGGTGGAATCAAAATGGTTACATTCAGGCAAACTTGAAATGTCTACAGAAAAAAACATTTCCCTCCAGATTTAAAAGATGGTGTTAACATTACTCCATTTTTGCTATGTACTATGTACTGCTTTCATACTTGCCCCCCATGTTTTCTGCTTATCAACAAAACTAAACTCATATCTTCTTTTGAGGTTCTGTTTCAGGAACTGTGATGATAAAATCTTTAGAGTTCTCTGTAAGCACGGACAATAAAATCATATATATATATATGATAAATGCTCTACCAGTTTATCACAATAGCAAAATGTATTAACCAAATTATGCTGGATAAGCCTGTGTTCTGGATTCTTTTGAAATGTGAAAATCCAATTGGAACTCACCGTTAAAAATCCTGATGGGTCACTTTCCTTCAGAACTTCGAATGTATATTGCAAAAGTCCTGTTGTATTTTTCAGTTTTTCTTTACATAAATTGCTTTGGTCTCGAACCATCTGACCTTTACAAGAAACATGATTATTGACACATTCAATCAGCTTACATCTTGTTTCCTCCAGTGCTTTGCTTAATTCATCAAATTTAGCAACAATTTGTGCCTCAAATTCAACTCCGTTCTCCTAAAACAAAAGAAAAAGCATACTAGCATTGCAATGCATATTAATAAAGAATTTTATGAGCACCCTGCTGGGCATAATGCTCAATATGCATTATCTATCTGACACCTAAGGATGCAGGAAATTAAAATATATCCCCTATATATGATAAAAATTATGCACTGCTAGAGATACGTTTGTGAAGTCATTATAACTTTGCTTTAACTGGCTCTATCTATATACTATCAGTGGTGTCTTCTGCGCTTTTTGAAATGAGCATGATAACAATAATAGGTATTGTCATACACATAATATAAGTTATAAATTATGTTCCCTTTAACAAATCTTGACTTCCCATTCATTGTATTTGTATCTCTTTAATTTTTATTCTTTATCTCTATTCCCCTTCTACCTACTTCCCTTTCTTAGCTGTTTAAGCTGTCAATCATTTTCGAAGTGTCGTAACCACTATATCATACCAATCAGACACCTATTTTGCTTGGTTTGATAAACTAAAGTTCAAGGTTTCTAAGTTTTGGCTTTTAAGCATATCTACTGGGTACTTAAACATATTTTCTGTTTGAAAATAAAATTATACCAATTGAAATTAAAACAGATGCTTGTATGGCAATAGCATGCAAAGTTATGTATAAGAGCCCTGATAAATAATAAATTATTCTTAATTAACAAACCTCTATGCTAGAGCACATCATACAGTAGAACAAGAAAACCTGATAAAAGGGATTTGCTTCTGCATCACTTTTCTAATGCTATAGACCACAAACTGACTATATGGAAGCATCTACAAGGTGTTTCCTTGAAACTATTTTATGTAGTAGCTGTCATTACAGATTAATTACTAATTAAAGGACAGGAATCTAAATGAAAGACAAGTTTGTGGGACTATTTTAAATCCAAACCCTTTCAAAAATGAGCACCTTTCTTGTTAAAAAATGTTAGGTAGTTTTCCCCAATAGAAATTCACAAGCTGTGGCAAAATAGCCTCAATCGAACATTTCAAACTATTCTAGCTTTCCCAACTGAAGAAAAACATTACACACAAAATTTAATACAATGAACTTACAGTGACTTTTGATAAATTATCCTGCAACAGATGAATAAAATTCTGGAGCTCTCTGCTTTTGTCACCCAATGTTTTTGCATTCTTTGCCAGTTCATTCTTCAAAATAATTGAATAATGAGTTTTGTTGCCATCACAAGAGAAATATTTTATCTTGAAACATATTGTTTTTGGCCAGCAATGATCTTAAATATATTGTTTTTTATTTAAACCTATAATTTAAATATTTGGCATCCTCAAATTAAAAAAGGAACAATTATTTTAAGGATTGAGGACCAGAAATTTAATAGGAAAAAATTTAGATAGTGATAGGGAAAAATTTCAGATAGCAACAACACTTGTCAGATGAGAAAAACAAGACTTTATATAATGATTTCCTTTTTGCAAATCTATAACAAAAAGAAATATTTGTTATCTATCCAGACCATCCACAAAATGCAGCTGAGTTTCATAAAGTCATTCTTAAATGAGGTATTCAAAATGACAGAGTCTACACAACATCACCACAGGGGTCTATTTTCCATTACAAAAGGAATTTAATATCCAAAATGAAGTCTAAGGCCAGCGATTTCCCTTTAATTCAATTCTCAAGGATTTGATTCAACTTTTCTTAATGCAGAAATTTTCTTTGCTTTTATGTCGAAAGTAATCCCCATATATACGACATAACCAAATGTTAATTAAAACAGGTGAAAGTAAGCAGGTAATACAAAATGTCATGCTCTCTCAAAAATGCTTTTTTCAAGAAGTATCAAAGAACAAAAAAAATATGTTCGTTATTCAAGAAAAATTATGTCGTTTGCCAAGAATAAGAAAGCAAAAGTCATCCAATAAGTTTGTTTATACTGTGATTAATTAAACGTGTGGTTCTGTTTATCTAAACTGTAAACAAAAAAATTGCTGGCGTCACTAACATTGTTAAACGTTGTGAAATGAAGTTTATTTACCTTCTGTTCTTTGAACATCAAACCAAGGGCTTTGGCTTCATGGCCACTGTGACGACCTCCTTCAAAACACAAATAACAGACCGTGCACTTACAATGTGTACAGTACATGCTAATATTTTCCTCTTCATGTTCTATACACTTCAAAATTGACCGGCTTTTCGATGAGTTTTGAGCAACTTTGTCCGGAACTGGTCGAACAAGTGAATGTTTCGCCAGGGGTCCCCTCTTTGGATGATAGACATTGAGACAGCCCTCGCAATAGGCCACTTGACATTGCTCACACATCCATGCAGCTTTAGTAGCTGGTTGGCTTTCGCACAGTTGACACTCAAGCTCATTATTTTTTGCTTGAAACCTTTGAACCAATCCTTCAAGGATTAAATTTCGGGGCAAGCTGTCTAAACCTCGTTCGTCTAGGCCATAATTTTGTGAGCAACGTGAACAGGTTAGAATGAATTGAGGAAAGGGCAGGGGATGAGGTGGCCGATTACTGGTTAGACACATTTGCTGAAATTCGCCGATACTGAGGTATCCACTATCGTCTGAAGCCCCATCGTTGTGCTGTGATTCCGGGTTTGCAGAGGCAACTGACTTCTTTGCGCAGTCAAAACAAAGATTGTGTGAGCAAGGCAAGGCAACTGGATCTTTAAAGAATTCTCGACAAACAGGACAAATAAGTTCATTTTCCATCTCTACCTAGATTCAAGCATCACTTTATCCATTGAAAATATGTGCGAAGTTTTGCAAGGCACTGCGAAATGCGTCTTTTACCTTCTTCACCATCCTCCCATATAATTCCCTCCAAACATTCGAAATCGTGGTGCAGGGTTTATCGGCTCCATGCCCTTGGCCGAAACCTTAGAACACGTGCTCGACCACATTCCAACTCTTAAAGATGAAAAAGAATAAAACAACTAAAGTCTGCTGAACGCTATCAAGTACAACAGGTGGTTGTGGGAAAACTCATTCTCAGCTTAATTTCTGAATGATTAGCTCTTTTTAATTTTTTAGTAGTTCATTTGTTTCAATCTGTATTTGATGTTCGAATTTGAATCAAATTTGAATCCTCTCACATTTTACCTATGATTTTAAATTTGCCTTTTTTCCCAAAATTTACCATTTGAATGGGTGATTTAGACATTAAAACTCTTCATTTCATTATTATTTCCTACTTTAAAATTATCCTCCTTTTCTAAATTTGTTTCATAATGTTAAAATACTTCCTCCCATAGTCGCAGAAACAGTCGTACCCAATCAAGCATTGCTTACATGCTTTGAGAAAATGAAGTCGAGCTTGAGCTTAACATATCAAGTCTAATTTTGTTTTAGCCCAAAGTTTTAAAATTCTGTTTCTAAACGAATTGAATAATCTTCATCAAATGTGATTTATAATAGACAGTATACAGTACAGACAATATGAATAATTCATTTTCTTCTGAATAAATTAACACATAGCTAATAAAATTCCTTCAATCACATATTGCAGCTGCCATGGCCAACCTGCTGGTATTCATTGGACAGGCCTTCCAATGCACAAAATGATGGCGACCGTTTTGGAATCGAGGCCAGATTTTTACTGTGGTTATGACCACAATCAATGTTGGGCGTTCTGTCAAAACAGGTTTTGTTTAAAAAATGATTTGTTCTGAAGTTTATTTCAAACATTAAATTGTAAACTATAACAGAAAATTAAAGAAATTATAATGACGCATAAATGGGGCATGTGGGCCTTAGAAGTTTATGGAACTAGATTGAAACTGGCTCAATAGTTGGGACCCTTATCCGTAACCACAGGGGCCTTAGGTACCCGACCCCAACCATAGACTAAAAAAACTTGAGCCCCTGCCTGCAGTGACATTAACTGGAAATAACTTAAAACAACCTGCCAAATTTGATAAGCAAACAAGGTGAAAGTCAAATCCCAACTAAACTTTTGTAATAGATACTAACCTAGCCATAACTACTTTTGAAACAATCATACAGTTCAGAAAACTATGTACACTCTTTTTTTCTAAGAACCAGTAAATTTAAGTTCAGGCTGACTGTTCTTAATTTTTTCGAAAATCTAAGGCTGGATTGTTCTTAATTTGTTCTTAAATTAAGTGGGTTTAAGCAGTAATATTGCTAGCTTTTTCGCTTTAGAGTGGTGTTCAGGCCTCATTTGCCAACAAAGTGAATGAGACAGCCTTAATTTGCTGACAAATTTGAATATTCACCGACAAAGCACCTACGCATCGCTAAAAATCCTTGATTTTGATAAAAAAAAGTTGTTCAAAATTGCATTTTGCAGAAGCTCAGCCTCAGCTTGTTCTTAATTGGTTCTTAACTTTTGACCAGTTTTGAGGCTCGTGTTCTTATAAAATTGTTCTTATAAAAAAAGAGTGTAGTTTGATACTCATGATAAAATTCCGCCACGTTTTTCTTACAGATGCAATATTAAGGTAATTCTTAAAGCGCAGGTAGTTGCCTGGGTACGGCGAAGTAAAAATCACTGGTTTATCGCTTTGCTAAAGCCCCCAGTCCCCCTGGTCCGTGGTGCCTGACCATTCACGACCTTGCTTTACATTATGATCTCTGCAAAGCCTATTTGGCGACCCGTAATAACACTAGCTTTCTAATAACATTACTATTTGCATAACTGATTAACACTGTACATTTTCAAAAGAAGACCCTGATCTGCAGGAGAAGCGTGGGAAAATTTTGCTCAGCGACACTTTGAACGATCAAAATTCATAATTCAAGGCAGGGCAGCTCGATACATTTGAGGGTTGGCACCTCCGCAGTAATCTAAGAATATAAACGAGGTTGGAATATAGCTATGACTGCAAAATATCACGAAAAATGACACTCTCTGTCTTTCCCTGTATGTTTTCTCTGTTTATGGGAACCAGATGACTTCGTAATTCCTGCCATGAAATGTACAGGTAGTTGCATTTGTTGCGCTTTGTAAACAAATATATGAACTTGCATGCTTTGATTGTCATAAAAATACATGGCGACAACAAGCATTGCTTGTTTCAAAGTCTATACTGAATAATTAACAATACTGCTACAGTACCTCTCAAGAGGTAACCCTCTGTTTTATTTGTTTTGGCAGGTGCATACCTCTGATTTATGCACATGTATTTTTTAGCTAGTAGTGGCAGGTAACCAAAATGACAGATGATGTGGCCCTTTCATTTCTTATTGATTGTTACTTTGCACGATTTGAAATTACCATCTCTTGGAAAAATTACTTTTACCTTGACTTCTCCAGATACAACTTTACTTTAGGCAATCTAAAATTACTTTCCTCTTTGCATACCGGTATGGTACAAGGCGGCAAGCATTTTTAGTAGTTCGATGAAAAAAACGTCAATAATTTATCGCAAATTTACTAGAAAACCCATCAGTTTTTGAAAGTTTCAAATGTATTGGTTTCCATAGGCTCCTTCGTTTTAAAGGCGACACTTACTTTGATTTTTGTAGCCGACACCTACTTTGACAAGTTATGCGATAGGGCGGCCGGCGGCTAGAGGGCCGCTACCTTTTCAGAGTTTCCCGCGTTTTGTTATTGAACTGAACGCGTGTTTCCTATAAGTCTGAAACAATCTGATTGGCCAGTGTAAACAAATAACAGGTGCCAGACATATGCTGCCGAAATTAATTTGATTGTACGATAAAGTCAAAAATTTTCAGTCTCAGAACATATTCAAAGAAGGGAGAGGAAGGGGTTTGCTTGTTAAGAAGGCAATGACAAAAACGTTTCTTGATTCATTTACGATCCACGCTCCGATCACCAGTTGGTTTGAATTAGTTTGTGTAAGAACTACGCAAATACCAACGGTAAATAATTGGTGATGATGATGATGACCAATGGAAGCAAGTGAGGGGATCACAACGGGCATCTAAGCGTAAATAATTAGGGCAGCATAAAAAAATCGCTCATACATTATGAAGTCATAATTTCTTCTAATAAGTATCATATTTTGCGAGAAAAACTACAAATTTTGCTGAGCGGAGTTGCAATATCTGAAAATTTTAACATTTTGGAAGAAATGGTGTATGCTAATCAAGTGAGGTTTACTTTCGTTTTATTCTGCTAAAATATCAAATCGTTGAAGGCAGCAGCGGTTTTAGGGACTGCGGGGCCAGGGGCCAAAAACATTTGCGGGGCCCTTGTTCTTAACAATTTCTATTTGTTTAAGTGTGGGGCCCCTTTTGGCTATCATAAGCAGGGGGCCTGGGGTCATGGCCCCCTCTTAAAACCGCCACTGGTTGAAGGGCAACCTTATTATTTTCCTTTGTAGTAGTCAGTGGTAAAGATTAGCTGCAAAAAATAGAAAATGGACAACAACGAGCGAATTTAGAATGGATAGTATCTACAGTTGCCAATACCCAATCTGTTTCGCTGCCTATACACGGCTTTGATATTGAAGCTTTGGTGGGTGCAGCCATTCATTTTGGTGGGTACAGTTTCTGTTAAGCAGTGTCGGTCGGTGCTCTTACTAGTGGAAAATTGAATACTTCAACCAGTTGGTCTGGTTTTAAGAATGGAGTGTAAAGAAATTTTTGTATTTATGAGGGTTTTCTAATAAGAAAGTATCTGAGGGTATCAATTTCAGCATTCAAAAGGGTTATAAAGATATACTATTTTAGGTCAGGAAAATAATAAGCATTAAATCCTATGATGGAGCCAGTATTTTATAAATGAGAAAAACGACATATTCAAAATGGTCTCTCATTTACCAGGCAAATAACCAAAATTTGTGTAACCTTAAGATAATAAACTTGGAGAATAACATTAGCCTCAGTATCCACTTAAGAAGTACCTAAAATCCCATAGGTACTCAGATATCAACAAAATAAGTTACACTTGTGACTAGGAATGTAGAATTTACATGTTTCCATTTAAAAAAGTATTAAGCCGTTAAAAATTTTTAGTAATAGTTAGAACAACAAATTCATCCCCATAAAATTTTACTAAATGTTGCTTTGTTTGCAAATCAGTCATCTACAGGTATCCATCTGAGCCATCTCATCATTTCTTCAAAGGAAATTACCCCATTTCCATCTTTGTCCAATTCTTTTAAACCAGCACCAACATTTTGTTTTTTGCCTGGAATAAGCAAATCTAATAGGTACTTTAAGCTTTACTAACAAGCAGATTCGTGGAAAATAAACAAATCATAAGACAGTGGAGAAGCTGATGTCTGAAAGAAACTGAGTGTTGCAAAATTTGTTTAAAGTTTCTGCACCATAATCAAGTTTTTTCTTCTCCTGTCCCTTGTTTAAGAAACATTTAGAAATATTTCAGCTTGCAAACTAAACGATATTTTCAAAAACCACAGCCAGGCAGCTACAAATAGGGTTCAAAATGACTGTCAAATGGTGGATAAATTACTGAAGAAGACACAATCCCTTGAGCAGGACTTCCACAGCAAAACAAAATGTTTTAGTAATCTTCACTTGGAGTATACTTGGTACGTTGTTGTCAGGCACTGCTCAAGTACACATAAAAAACCTAGGTAAGATGGGAGTGGTAACTTTGGGAAATGCTCTTCTCCCAATATGACATCAGGACCTATAGCCCCCGATGTAGAAGGTGGGCCTAGTCAAGTTGTCACCTAATGAAAATGGGCGTGGCTGAAAATACCAATAGATACATAGTTTGAAGAGGGAGCCACAAACGGGGGCCCAGATAGTGGAACCGGTTGACTTACCGCCATAAGCGATGAAAAGCTTTTCAAATTCGTCTTTATCTAGAGCGCCACTGCCATCTTTATCGTAGCTTTTGAACAGTTCTACAGCCTTCTTTAACCTTTGATACCTTGACTTATCGTTAACATTTTTGAACTTTTCACCGCTGTGAAGCCAGGAATTGAATTCTTCAAAAGAAACTTTCCCGTTGCCATCCTTGTCCAGCAGGTAGGCGTAGCTTTCGGCCTGCTCTTTTGAAAGGCCTAGATCGTCAACAAACAGGCCTTGTAACTCAAGCCGATTTAACTGACCACTTCCGTCTTTGTCATACTTTGTAAAAAGACTCTTTAAAACAATCTGCGGTACATTTTTGTCAAAAAAGCTTCCTCCTGCAACAGGTTTTGCAGCTGTATACATGATTCACGTTTTTCTTGACCGCCGTTCACAAGCAAAAGACGGAAGTATCAATATCGAGGCGTCAAAATTGCAAAACTGCAAGAGAGGCCAAAGGCGGAAATGCTAATGTCCTCGTATCGTAAACAAATGTCTCATTTGATCAGACTTTGCGAATTGGCATGGTACGGCGAAATGGGTCCTTTATTTCAGGTCTATTGACAATTCATTTCTATAAGCAGTTCGTAAACATACTTATGGCGACACGTGTAAATCGATATTTTCGAGTTTAGATAAATATTTGCGTGAGTATGATAGTCCAATCCAAATAGGTTCATTATGGATTTTCAACCCAAGTAGAAATAGCATCTGGAAAACAGATTAGATCAAATCCTAACCCAACAAAGCTACAGAAAAGCATTTGTACTTCTGGAAGAAATTAATACTTATGCTAAATAATCAAATTTAGCCTAAAATTGGGGTAATTTCGGATAACAAGAATGCAAACCAAACTTAGCCATTTCTTTTGAGATTTTACAGCATGTTGGTTTGGAAAAAATGCAGCATCCTGAACAAGTGTATTTAAATTAACTTGTATTAATCAGCCAGAGATATCATGGGTTAACTGCAAAGGGGGCATTTCTCACTACAAATTCTGAAAAACCAGGATTGTAGAGCTGGGGGCTAAGAAGGGCTTAACCCTTATTTTAATGACAAAAAGTAGTCTTTTATACTTTTACTTTCGTTTATGGGAGTTTTTTGGAAGGCCTTTTTACAGCAACATCCCTGTGACAAAAGTAATGTCTCAATTAGATTGGCTTGCCAAGAAGTTTATTCTCCAACTTCTGAAATTTATTCTCCAACTTCTTGTGATTAAGAAATTGTGAATCATCTGAAAAATGTGAAAACTTGATGCATAGGCTTGCCCAATACACCCCTTAGCATGACAACTATCGATAGAAGGCTGTCCATGACAACAGAATTTCTCATACAGATGGGAAGACTGGGGAACTGCCTCTAAGCAAATCAAAATCACTATTTGCTCTAACCATATTTAAAAGCACGATTTATCATGATTTCATATTGATTTTGACCTTTGAAGATCTAAGAAGAAATGTAACTGCTCTTTTTGGTTATATTCTTCCAGTTTGCAATTTAGATGGAGGTTCCCTTTTGAAAAGATCTAAGGGCTTTAAATTTCATCTTCTTCAGAGAAAACTTCCTTAATTTCCATCAAGACTTAATTTAATCAAATTTATTCAGAGCTCTTTTCTTTACACCATTCTATGTCACAATCAAGCATGGTGGAGTGTCAGGTAAAGGGGCCCCAAACCCCCATGGTCAGCAGTGCCTGGCCATATTAAAAACATATATGATTTGCTATGAGTCTTAGACATTTAAATAAATATGCTTACTGAGAATTTGTAGATTAAGTACAGAAAATAATACCATGTCAGAGAATTAAAATATAAAAATAATCTCTCGATCCCCACCAAATTTGTGGAATTTAGGTTCAAAGTACAGAAAACTACTCCTAAATAGTGTGCTTTTGAAATTCTTTGTCTCTGATGTTTTGTGCTTTTTATGTTCCATATTTTTTCAAACCAACTCTTCTTTAATTTCTCCTTCAATAAGAAACATGACACAAATAATCTTAAAACTTTAATTTTTTTGCCCCTTTTTGCTCTGTCCTAAAAATATGTGTTGTTACTGAATTTCACTTTTTAAAAATCTAGCCTGGTAGCTGGAGCAAAACTGATTTATCTATCATTGCTACATGTTTGGCATAGAAAATTTGAATTTATCTATGATTCTAACGAAGGATATTTTGAAACCAAACAAAATAATTATTTATTGCATGACTTTTATTACAATTTGGGAATTATTGGGGAGGGGGGCATCAGCCACTCTCACTCCCACTTCCATGGTCTCTGATTGACCAAAGTGTATTTTGTCTTGAACTTTAAACATTTTCAAATTACAAGGCAGGGTGAAACCTATAACTCCCACTTATTTAGGAGGCATGGGTGCAGGTCAGATTTCTTTCATCCAAACTTGTGAAAAATAATCAAAACATTTCAGTCGTGGTCTGACAACTGTTGATCACAATCAAATTAGGCTGCGAGGACATCATACTCTGTAAGGTACAATAACATATATTATTATATATCATCAATGGGAATCCAGTTTAACCATTTTAAGAATTCATTAAATGATATTTTCCCGTTGTGATCCTTGTCGATGCCGTTCAGAGCTGCAGCAACAGCTTCCTCTTTCACTTGCAGTGACTGCATCAATTTTGAAAATTCATTCGTTTCAAGAGCACCACTTTGATCAACATCATACTGTCTAAAGTAATTCACAGCTTGCAAAAGTATATGGTATTTGGAGCCAGTAGGGTCCCTTATCAAACCTGATTGGTTTGGGTCACGTAAAAATTTTGTAAACTCCTCTAAAGTAACTCTATTACTGGCGTCTCGGTCCATTAACAAGGCAAAGGCATCGACTTCATCTTTGCTTATGGCTAAATCCTCAACCAGTAAGGTTTTAACTTCTTCTGGCGATAGTGACCCACTGCTGTCTTTATCGTATTTACTGAAGAGACTTTTGACGACGATGTCTGGGATTTCGTGTCCCAAGTAGGTAGCCATAAGTAAGTAAATAGCAAGGAAGTGTGTAGAAAGTAACACCAAAACAAGCACTAGGCCAGTCTACCGTCTTTGGCTTTGGCCTCTCGCCCCTCCTTGTGGTTGTTGCTGTAATCACTTCCTATCAAATCCCTTTTTCCTCGTCACCAACACCAAAGTGGAGAATCGATTAACCACTAGAGAACAGCAAAAAGAGCTTGAAATGTCTTTACTGCAAAAAACAATACATCTGAATATCATATAACTAACTGACACTTTCAGTCAAGGGACATTGACGAGTCTCACCCACAAAAATTTCTTTTCTGTGGATAAAAACGCACTGTTATGGGAAAAGGCGATAAATCCAATTTGATTTCCCACCAAAAGTCTTGCATCTTTTCCGATTAGGATGATTTCTTTTGGTGAGATATTTAGCCTCTGTCCTACATTTAGTGGCGGGAAGACTTACAAATCGCGTTTTCAGGGTTCGAAGCCTTATTGCCTTATTGGAATACACTCTTTTTTATAAGAACCGGTAATTTTAAATCCAGGCTGACTGTTCTTAATTTTTTTCGAAAATTTGAGGCTGCATTGTTCTTAATTTGTTCTAGAATTAGTAGGGTATATGTAAGCAATGTAGTTGCTAGCGTTTTCGCTCAAGAGAGGTGTTCAGGCCTCATTTGCGAAAAAGTGAGTGAGGCAACCTTCATTTGCCGACAAGTTAGATTATTCACCCAAAAAGCACCCACACATAGCTAAAAATCCTCGTTTTTTAGATGAAACGTTGTTCAAATTTGCATTTTACACTGGTGCAGCCTCAATTTGTTCTTAATTTTTTACCAATTTTCAGGCTCTTGTTCTTATAAAATTGTTCTTATAAAAAAAGTGTTGCGTGCTCACACACTGCCTTTTAAACGTGTATTGAAACAAAATAAACAACTTCACAACTACAGCATAAGCTTTTATTCAAGTCATGCTAACTTGTGCCATATTCTGATGACATAATAACAGACAAAATTAATTATACAAGCACTTGGTCCTGATAAATAACTGCTCGCTAGTGCTTACTTTTTTCCATTTCAAAATCTTATCCAAGCAAAGATGCTAGGAATGAGCAAAAGTAATGAAAACATATTTCTATGAAATACCTCTAGCATACAAAGAATAAATGAAATTTCATTTGACGGCGATTCATACTATTTTCAGATACAGCTGACTGCAAGTTTGACTTGAAAAGACTTGACAAAAGACAAAAGACTTGAATTTAAAATTCGCACTTTTCGGTTAGCCAATATATTTTATTAACCAAACAGAATCCTTTTACTACAGAATAGCGTCTTGATTTCATAACCTATAGCATACCAATAGAGTTCTAAAGTGATGACGTCACAAAAATAATTTTAGAATTTTTTACTTTGGATCCCATAGCCTTGAAGAGCATCAAAAAATACATCTAAATATGCAAAATCATTCAAGTGTGTTACGAATTGGCTGAGATATGGCCACGTCTGTACTGGCTCTTTCCCCATCAACCTCTGTATTGTGGTCCCTGTTCATAACTTTACGAACAGAGCCAAAATAACAGTAATTCGTTGGTAAACTTTAAATCTTTCACTGGCAAAAGCTCGACCGATCTGAGACATATTTGATTACTTTTGCATATTTGGAAGTATTTCATGATGATATTTTATGTTATATGGTTAGAATTCATGAATTCTAAAAATAGGTTTTCGGTGACGTCACACTTTAGAACTCTACTTGCGAGGTGAATAAGCAACGGCAGTTTTAGATATTTTACAAAATTGAATATATTGATAAACTCATCAGGTTCAATTTCAAGACTAGGACAACTTTTCTGGTCTACAAGGGTTCTGTAAATTACCAAGACCAATACATCAAAGATTGATACACATAGTCAAATCTTTAACATCAGCTCAGTTCATTGATTCCAAGAGTATTGCTGCACTTAGCAAATGAAATGTATGAATTCAAAAGAAATAATTGAAAAGTGGAAATTACGAGAAAAAATGGGGTATATTTACGGCCTAATTTAGAGGAACAGCAAATTACTTTTCTTGTTCATTGATTCTCACTATCCTTTTGAAAGAAATGAGTACAAAACCTTTATTTTTGCGACGTCTAGGTTTGGCGTCATGAAACTTGCGAGATTACGCTGGAGCCTAACTCTATAAATGTCACTGAAATCAGCGAACGATGCAGACACGGGCCTAATGCATTTCACATTGACACAATACGTGGACTTGTGTTTCTCAAAATACGTGGATTTATCCCTGCGCTGCTGTTTGAATCCGTTTCTGGAACTCTTCAGATTCTAATTGTTCAAGGGTAAGCAATGATAAACCGAGCTGATCGTCCTGTGAAAAAAACATCTTAATGAATTAATTTGCATTAATCTATTAGTTTAATAATGTATCTAAAATTAATAAATAAGTTATATATTTGTCTTAGCAAAAATTAAAGTTGCAGAAATACCACAAAGTCTAGAAATTATTAACCTTATGAAAAATAGCATACCAATCTCCAATGGCAAGCAAGAATTCCAAGAATGCAATTTATCAATTTCAAGGTTGTGGTTTATTCAATTTCAAGGTTGTGGTTTTCTCATTTCTTAGGGTGTGTTTTTTTCAATTTTAAGGGTGTGTTTTGCATGAGCACGTTAGTTGCGCACTAATTTTCTCTTTAATTTTAAGTCCAAAATATGTATAAAGTGGGAAAATATTTAGAAACAAAAAAATTTGCTCCTAAGAAACTTGTACTTTAGTTTGACAGATACTATGTTGGATTTTAGAAGATTTCTAGAGCTATTAACGTTTATAACTGTTGAAAGGTTTATAAACGTTTATAACGTTTATAACGAATAATTTTTCTACTTACCCTGTTGAAAGGTTGGGCCATTTGTCGTAAAAACCGTTTTGCTACCTAAAAATCAAGTACCAAAATCTTGCCAATGAAACAATGAACATAAAAATGGGACAAAAAGTTATTCGAGACACCATTATCTCTGCAAATGGGGCGTTTGACCCTATATAAGACAGAAATATTCAAATTAATCAGGTTCAAAATGCAAATAGAATAAACAAATCATTCAAAATTTGCACATATAAGACCAAAATTCTCACAAAGATCGACATCAAGCTCTTTGGCAGCAAAGAAGGTGGGAATTCCAATATATTGGAGTGCTACTTTGATTTGAAAGAAGCAGTTTGGGTTTAAAGCGTTTGAAGGTAAATTTCAGGACATTATATAAAACGTATTTACCTGGACACCCTCATCAGTTGTCAAATTACAGTTGGCATCTTTGAGATGCTCCTAAATAAAGGCAAAATTAAGTAAAAATCGAAGCTCAGGTCATTTGCAATAAAAAATATTTCTAAATGTTTTAAAGCGTTAGGCAAAATATCAACAATACAGTCCGATAACTGTAGAAATCATTTAAAAAGTTAGATTTTTAACAGCATCTCTCTTATGCTTTTAATGTGATTTTTAGATTGATGCACTGTTTGTTTCTCCGTACATTGGTAACAACCCTGGGCAAGAAAGCTCTATAATAGTGGGTCGTTAGGCACAGAAAATGTTTCGATTCAGCAGTGTGCTATTTCTCTTGCGGAAAGAGAAACAAAAACACGAAGCTAAAAATCAAGCGCGTAAAATTCAGTTAAAAAAATACGCATCAATTATTTTTAATTGAAACTCAAATGAAACTATTGTGCTCATTTCTAATCTTGTTTTGATCAATATGAACTGCAATAGAAAATAGGTAACTTTTAACCTCTGGGTTAAATAACATCTAAGTGAAATATTAGTTCTGTAGGCAGACATAAAGATCATACAAATATATCACCACTGTATCTTTAAGGAAGTGAATACAGTACCAAAAAGCCAGATTGATTCGCGAATTTTAAATGGGTTACCTGAATCCACTTTGGCAACTTTCCCTTTTTATCAGCTTTTGAAAATCGCTGCAAAGTTTCATAATCGCATTTATTTATTTAATCGTCAGTTAACTATAATCACTAAATAACACATATCATGATTTCCGGTTTTCTTCGAATGTTTATGAAATATAAATAAGAACAATAAGAATCTACAATCTTCTTATAGCTTTTGCATATCAGTTTTAAACATAAAGCATTTCAATCCATTCAAACTACTTTCCAGTGAATTTTGTGTCTCTCATATAGATTCACTTATACACAATGAATTTGAGTCTCAAAGTTATACTGAAAAGTCTTATAATATCATGTAGTTATACATAACCAAACCTCTGCTTCCTTTTCTCAGCTATAGATGACAAATCCTTATATTTAACTTCGTAGTAAAAGACAGAATATTTTAAGTATTAAGCATTATTTTTAGAAAACAGTTTATCAATTTCTGAAAGTGAAAGTTTTCTCGAGTTTATCCTTCCTGCAACCCCAGCATGTCAAAAAACGTACATAGATTTAAATTTAACTTTGATTTTTTTGCAAGTGTACTGGCAATTTTAACCTTCAAGATATTCGCTTCAAGATAATACCATTCAAATGACAACTAAATCACTATCCAACTTACTTTATCAGCAAAAACCATAACGCCATAATCTGTTTTACCTCTGATGGCACGTCCAACACACTAGAATAATACAATTTTGAATAATAATCAATTTGATTATGGGGACAATTGAATGATCAATAAATTTCTAGAATTCCGCCAATACACTTTAGTAATCTAACAGATAAAAAATTACATTCAATTTTGCGAAATAAGCCTTCTAAAAGATGTGGAAATGTGAAATATATTTCTCGAAAAGCAATAGTTACAGGCTTTTGTTTCAAAGTTGCTATATTGAAATGATTTCAATATATTTAGAAAAGCAAGTATGCAATGTCAAGATATTGTCAAACGGTGGCGGACGTTGAAAGAAGTGACAAAAGCATTAGAGCATGAAAGTTTCTACATGAAAGTATCTAGGAAAACCTGAGCCAAGAATCTGCAAGAATTACCTGAGCTGCGTGCCTCATAGCGTCGAATGTTAGAAAATCATTTTCTCTAATGTTAAATTGATCTCTCAAATATTCCAGTCGGGCCTAGGAGCAATAAAAAACAGAATTCTGAAATCAATTTAGAAAAAGCATTTTTAAATTAGAAAATCAAGAAATGCATTTTAAGATTAAGCTAAAGAAATATACGCATCTTAATATGATACATGCAATAATACTTCAGACACAAAAATTTATTTCCGGTGGTTCGAAACACATCAATTAGGTAATAAAATTACTAATGCAAAACCTTTTATACCTTTAAAATCCGGCTTTGCGTATATACATATGGAATGCCAAACATAATGACAGCTCTTCCATAATGGTGATCTGAAATGACAATCGTAAAGCTTGGTTAAGGGGTGGATTTTTCCTAAAAAATTCCTTAATGAAGACGAAATCAGTCTGATCAATTCGAGAAACTGATTCTTTTGTTATCTCACGTAAAAAGGAAAATTTTTTGTCTATGAGTTTCTAGCCCAATTGCGGTTTCACAATGAATTCATTTTAATGAATCATAAAATGTACAGCATAGGTTGATTTCAAATGGTAATTAGATTTCTAGGTGAATCTTCCAGTTTAATTGAGATATAGCTGCCCTGTCAGCAAGAAGGGCTGATTGCCATGTTTCATGGAAAACAATTACAATCCATAATAATAAAAAATAGAAAAAATTGAAAAAAATTGAAAAAAATTGAAAAAAATTAAAAAAATTTAAAAAAATTAAAAAAATGAAAAAGATAAAAAATAGAAACAAATTATAAAAAAAATTTAGAAAAAATGAAAAAAATGAGGGTAAATTAAAAAAAATTAAAAGAAAATTTGGAAGAAAAAAATTGAAAAAAAAATAAAAAAATGAAATAACAAAATGAAAAAAAAAATAAAAATAAAAAAAAGAAAATGAAAAATAGAAAAAAATAAAAAATTGAAAAAAATTAAAAAGAAATTAAAAAAATAAAAAAAAACTATCAAAAATGAAAAAGTGAAAATTTTTTTAAAATTTAAAAGAATATAAATAAGAAAAAAAAAAAAATGAAAATAAAAATACAAAAAACTAAAAAATGAAAAAAGTGAAAAAATTTTAAAAATTAAAGAAAAAAATAAAAAAAAATTGAAAAATAAAGAAAATAAAATAGAAAAATGAAAAAAAAATTAAAAAATGAAAAAAAGATATAAAAAAATGAGAAAAAAAAAAAAAAATGAAATAAAAATATAAAAATTAAAAAAAATACAAACTAAAATAGAAAAAGGTGAAAAAAATTTTAAAATTTTAAAAAAATTTAAAAGAAAAAAAATGAAAAAAAAATTGAAAAAATAAAGAAATATAATAGAAAAATGAAAAAAGATATAAAAAAATGAGAAAAAAATAAAATAATGAAATAAAAAATGAAAAACAATTAAAAAATGAAAACAAAATTAAAAAAAAACACAAAAACTAACAAAAAAATGATAAAAAGTAAAAAAATTAAAAAAAATTTGAAAGAAAAAAAATGAAAAAAAAATTGAAAAATATAAAAAAATAAAATAGGAAAATGAAAAAAAGAATTAAAAAAATTAAAAAATATTAAACAACTTATATAGAAATTATACAATTCAACGAAGTAAGAGGTTGTTCACAGGAGAGCAATAACACTTCCCCTTATACTAGAGACAAGGCTTTTATACCGACTTGCTCCATGACAGGAACACGTCTTCAATTTTTTCTCTTTCATCAAGAGTATTTCAACGAAAAAAACTTATGAATATTGAATAGAAATATCAAAAAGGGATTTGATAAATCTATTCATCGATCGTCAATACATCACATTAGCTGTTTTCTTAATTTCCCTATTCATAGCTATTAGTAATATTGAAGATTGAAGATAAGTTTTTAAGCTTTTGGAATGCTTACAGCAATGTAACAACGCTGTTTACCAGAACCCAACAAATGTAATCACATTATTTTTCCAAGGGGGTTTTCTCTTTCAAGAAAAGTCAAACATTGCTTCTCTTAAATACAGTTGAAGCGAGCTTGAAATTAAATAGCTTACCGAAATCAATTCCTTCAGAAACCTTTCCTCTTGCGATAGATAACAAAATTGCACCTCTCCCATTTTCACATGCCTATAAAAACAATTAATTTTTTTAACTTGATCTTCTATTTGAAAATTGTACATGTGTAATACAGCGGACCACGGCATATGTTTCCCATACAGCGGACCACGGCACATTGCATCGTTGCCTCTTCCCATCATCTCAGAAGGGGATTTGAAACAATTTACATTAATTACACGAAAAATTTAAAAGCCTTATTGAAAAGAGAAACGATGCAAGGTTGTGATCTAAAGAAAAGATGATCTGAGGTGCAAAAGGACTGGTTTTGCGATTACCATAGCATACAAATAGCATACAGATCAGGAACGAAGACTTAAGATCAAGAACAGGGGTGAAGGATGTCATCGAGAAAGTGATTGAAGCCAAAGGCAAGTGGGCAGGACATGTAGCACGAATGAAGAACCACGAATGGGCTAAGAAAACGACAGAATGGACTCCGTGGGACAGGAAGAGAGGAAAGGGAAGACCAAAGAGAAGATGGAGAGATGAGATCGATCAGAAGGCAGGCAGCACGTGGACCAAGAGTGCCCAAAACCGTGATGAGTGGAGAAAGATGTGGAGGCCATCCGCCAGCAGTGGTGTGACAGGCTAATGATGATGATGATGATAGCATACAATTAGTGCTAGTTTTGCTATAGCCTCGTAGTCAAGTACTCACCTTTTGATAATTATATAAAGCTAAACTCGTTTCAGCGCCGTCTTGTGTCTCAATGAACAAAAGCTTGTTCTTCTGTATGCTTGCAATGATACCCTGTAGATATAGTTGTGATTTATAAGATCAAAAACAAATCAAGCCTGTTTTATTTGCTTCCTAAAAAACTGAAGTGAAGATCAACTTTAATAGAAAATAATCCAAAAAACTCTAGGGGTATGGAAAGCATGAATTACCAAGACGGACATTAATTCGCAGATGCAGATTAAAAGTGGCATATGGGGGTGAAGATGAGTATGACTGACATGGTCGTTTGACCAATTCGCGACAAGTAAATTGTCACACGTAAAAAGCACAAGAGAAAAACGAGCTCATCTAGATAAATTTTAGCTCATTTGTTGTAATATAGACTAACTCAAAAAACTAAATTGTCGTGGGGACTCTCTGACAACAGCAGACAGCCAGATATATTCGTATGAGACTTGAGTGTTCATTTACCTGGTCATTCCAAATAGAAACAGCTGTTTCCTAAAAACGTAAATAAGAATACGTAACAAGTTATTAGATAAAATAATACGTAAAACTGTTATGCTACTTTACGTATGTAAGTATGTAATGCAATGTAATGTTGTATGTACGTTACACGCAGAAATATTCAAATCCATCCAAAAAGCCCAATGCTAGATAACTAAACAGTGGCATACGCTGCTCAGAAAGAGAACAGCTATTTATGTTGCCAAGAGAAGTCTTATAGTCAGAAAATTATCGACAAGTCAAAAATAAAAGATGACATAAACCTTTCAATACAGTTCACCGGAGATACAATGTTTTTAACTATCATTCGTGAAATGCACAATTGCATTTCTACAAACTATGAGCCGGTAAAATAGTAGTGGCACCAGCAACCAGGCTTTAGCGTCATCACACGACAACGTGATCGGAGATTTATAAAAGAATTGCTCCCAACAAGCAACAATTTTATATTGTCTTCATTTACAATGTGTTTGCATCTATTCACATACCATATAGAGGTAACTGACAAAGAAGCACACAATGCCATCAGGAACTGAAGCAGAAAGCTCCACCAATAAATTTCCATAGTTACGGATAACGGCTGAAACAAAAATGGTATACTATGCAAAAGAAGTTATCAAAAAATCAAATATCTAATATCCTCGTTAAAGAACCTTCAAGCTTCTTGTTGAAGAAATGAGTCTAAATATGAAGGAGAAGTTGTATTTGACAATGGTTTAGGATACGTATCATTTTTAACTTTTTGTTTGTTTACATCAAACCAGTTTTGGGCTTTTGATCCTTACCATAATATGAATAAGTTTTAGCATTGTTTTAGGCATGTATTCAGGGACTCGTGATATTGATTCAAGCGCCAAGCGTTTCTTCGAGGACTTGTAGTTGTAGCACTGCATAAATATTGGACGTGTTTTCCTAAAATAGTATTTGAGCACGTATCGAACAAGTTAAAATTTAGACTAAGACGGCCTAGTATCTTCAGCTGTGCTATTATGCTACAAGGTCATACAAAAAATAAGCTGATACTATTTTGCTTATCTGTTACATGTAATTTCGTTAAGTTTTTTGAGTAGCATCATATTTGAGTAGCTAATTCAAAAAAACAGGGACTAGATGGGACATAAACAAGCCCATAAAATATGTAGTACATTCAAATAAGCAGATCTACCCCTTTACAAGTCTCGATCTAACATCTAGAATATCTAAAAGCCTTTAGAATTTGCTTTTACCGGGCCACTCCATGATAGGGTTAGTCATGATAGCGGGTCAGATATCCACATGACCACTCTAATCACCCGAACGATCTTCTTTAACAAAATCCGTAACCGTGGTAATACCATACGAAAAATATCCGCTAACCGTATTTAAAATTAGCCCAAATCCACGTATCTGCGAAACTATAATAAACCCAAGTTAAGTCAGTGTTGAAATGTTCCAGCCCAAAACAAGGCTTCTTTAACAATAGATTTACTCTTTTGTGCGATTTCAGTTTAAAAACACAACGCCGAGTCAAGGTAGTTAAATGCTGTAAGAAGTGTATATTGTGCTTACTCATGGTATATAAAATACTAAATACTTTTTGGAATATTTTTTTAAATACTTTTTGGAATATCGATAGACAACAGAGCTTCAAATTGCATCTTCAAGAAATATCAATACTAAATTCAATAAGAATATTAGCCGAAAGAAAACCCACCTATATCATCTCTTGTTTCAAACTTGGAACTGATTGCAACTTGATCGTTGCCTTTGCTGACAATCTGAAATAAAATTTGAGATCATAACGAAATAGTTGAACTTAGATATAATTATCTTAGAAAATGTTTTCACTAGAAATTACGCGATAACGACCTGGATGGGGAGAAACTTGAGACCGATCTTTTGGAATGTTGAGAAGAACCACAATCCTTTTGAGGTATTCGTAATCGCTAGCGTTGATGGTTGAGCTTTGAGTTCGTTACGTCAATAAAAGGTGTTGGAAATTATCCAAATGTTGTGAACACTGTGACAGTAAAAAACCAGTGTACTGGCATGCCATCAACAGGATTTTCTCTGGGAGTGTCTATGGCGTTGAGGTTTGTTCCTGGGGGTGTGCATGACCTTGGTTACCACGAAATGCATCAACAAATTTCATTTGCGGTTGTGAATGATTTGGTTCCTGACAAAATTAATCTGCTCAAGTTATTATGGCGAGTTAAAATTAGGAGTAGTATGAGATTTCACTGCTAATACCCTTTACACTCCTAAAGTATAAGAAAATTTCAGCGGTGCATAAAAAATGGTTAACAAAATCTGAAGTATGAAGGTATAAAGATCTGATACGTTTCTATCATTCTGAAATTGTCAGTTTATTCAAAAGGTTCCTAGGCAATTGACAATTTTTGGCAACTTGGCAAGGAATTCTTCGAACGTCTCGAATGAAGAAATCTTGCATTATACACCAGCATTGATTAGCAGCTTGGTTTGATATTGAAAATTTTCTTTTACAATATTGCTACATCTTGATCAAGTATCAATTAATTCTTAGTCAGACAATCCTGTAAACACGATGTCCAGTGCAGATAACGCATAAACAATCGCTTACAATGTTTATATTCTTATGGTTAGGCTATTTAGACTATCAACAAACAATTGCAAGGTTACCATTGGGCAGATGCAAGATCTTGCCAGCGTCATCGTAAATGTGGCCATATTGACTGGCCTGAAATCGAGTATCTTTGGATACATGTCAATTGGCGACAATGTCTAGCAATGAAGGAAATAACAACTTTTGTAAATGCATATATATGTACAGTAAAAGTCTCCAATTTTTCATGAGATTTATAACACCTCCCATTAAGGCAAAGCAATCTGAATCAGGCAATAATGTTGAAATATATGAAGAAACGCCCTCTCTTTAATCTTTAAACCCTCCTGCCTACCATCTTTAATCGCTTTAATCGCATAAAGCCCAAGAAAAGCATTATAAATTTACGCTACGGGAGTTTTCGAATGAATGTGTTACATACGATTTGTTACTAAAGTTGCAGTTTTGTTAGGCAGCAAGGTCCGACTTCGCTGGGCATAAATGAATCAAATGATATCCAATGATAAGAGTGGTTTGGGTGACAACCAAAGAATAATGTCCTGGAAAAAGTAAATGCCAGCGAACAGACGATTAAGAGGATAATGAATTCACATGATTATCGATTGATTTTAGTATTTAATCAACGTGCTTCGAGCAAGACCTTTAACTAATAATGAAACTGCGTTCTCAAGCTATGGTATTTCGATACATCCTTTCCCTTAAGTACTTTCCTTTATTAGGGTTTAACGTATGGGATACGTAATAAGACTGAAGTAAAACAAGGTAACCTACTCCAGACGTAATAACAACAGATTGAAATCTGTTAAAAACAGGGCGCACGGCAATCGATGCATCCATACAACTGAAAATTTAAAACAAAGGTTAAGGTTTTGAACAATTCATTTGGTACATAATGTGTGCGATAATAATGATTATCTGGTTACCAATTCAGTCCAGTAGATTCTCAACGTTTGCCATCATTGTAAGAAAAATTGCCTGTTGCATATATTGAGTCAGTAGAATAATAAGGTTCGTTACATGGCACGTATTTAGTTATGAGATCAATAGCGAATCAGCTGAAGCGCTGAAGCGAACAATAACAAGTTTCAAAGTCGATGTGACGTCTTAGTCGTCTTTCAAATACAAAAATGTCCAAGACGGTACCAAATTAGATGTGAGAAATGACAAAAATGAGTGAATACAGAAACGAGCAAACGCAGAATCTCCAAAAAAGCTAAAGGTAGAAATCATTATATTTCCGCATGTGGCAATAAAAAGTTGCGGGAAAACTTAATAAAATGTTTCAATAAAGGCCTGAGCTGTCAGGGACGTAAGAAAAAACAGAGGCGGTTTCGATAGCGTAAGCATGGAATCCATAAGGCGGCGTTGTCCAACTACACTAAAAGGCAGTCCGCTTGTAGTTCCAAAAGACAGGTGAAAATATTTAGGGCGTTGGCTTCCTAACGCTGTTGAAAAACCATGACAATATTCAGTGGCGAAGACTTAAAAAATGTACTTTCCAGGTACAAATCTACAACGTAAAAATGTTGGCATATCATGTATGGTGATTATTTCTGTTTTGTTTTCAGCTCTGTTTGCTACCGTACAAACTTGAATTAGAAAAGGTTATACGGTCTGCGGGCTTAATTCGACTGCAATCTCCAAAAAGATGCAGTCTTTATGGCAGAAAAATTTCTATTCTACATACCTGAAATGCAATACTGGATTAGGTATTGTTGGGGTTTGATCTTCAAAAGGCTCAATCAGTATGATGAATCCTGGAAAAATGAGCAAGTCGGTGGTAAGGGAGAGTCATTAATGGAAAATTATATTTACATAGATTTGTTTGGAACCTTTGTAATCAGAAATCGCCTATGTAAAAAGTTAGGAATCAAGTAGAAACCTAAGCTTGCTAACCAATGCCTTAACGTTTTCCATTTATAAAAGAAAGTAAGAACCAAATCATGATATTTGATCATGGGTGAGGGTAAAATGGCAAGTTTTCTGTGCTATTAAGAAGAAACTGTTGAAGGTATGACAGCAAATAAGTCAAGAAAGATGTAGAAAGAAAGAGGAAAAAGTATCAATGGAATTGACCGGCTTGACTATGCAACTTACGTATGAAATAGAGTAAAACCTGGTAGAGAGCAAATAGGTTGAGGTAGACTGTTTGCAAAAAATCATCAGCACCCACCTTTGGAATATGTACTGACTAGTGTAGCAAAATTTGCTAACAGAGTCAAAGGCCCAAAGTCAGCAATATTAGGCAGCTCCAGTGTGTGAAGTAATGAACGCAATCTTTCAGCACAAAACCTAGAAATCAGAAGAGATCACGGACTTTGTTACAATCAACTTGAGACATATTTGTAAAAGCTTAGATAAGGTTACCCAGACTAGAACATAAATTTATATGTGTTTACTACCTATTGGAAAGCGGTAATAACAGATGTAAATATAGACAAAATCAATCAGTGAATATGATACTACGTCAATGATTGTAAGAAGAGGAAACATTTCACAAGCCTGCTTCAAACTTTTCAATCCACTCACTTTATGCTGCATATCGAGGAAAGGCATCAAAGAAGAAAATAGAGCGTTGTGATTAAGATAAAAGTTTAAAGATACTTCTTATCAATACCTGCCACTTACCTTAGTGGTTTTCGATCAATGCAAACTTGTTGAAAAATATGTTGTAGAAACGATGGCGGAGTCTCTGAAACTACATGCTGCACTCTGAGCCTCACCTACAAATTTCGGAAGAAAGAAATATTCAGGGTAACATTTATAATAACAACACGATGACAATGATACGTTTTATGATCGACGATGATTGACGATGATTGATGATGATTGATGATGATTGATTAATGATTTGACAAACACGGATGAGGATGTGGCTACCCTTTAATCAGGTACAAATCAAAGCCCTGCTCAATCGCTTCTAGCCAGTATAGCCATATAGGATTGCTGCTTCAGAGTCAACAGCCATTTCGGTACAAAAGGAATCAGTCAAAATGATAGCAAATAGTTATCAAAAGGAATAAAATTAACCTTTCCTAGCTAGCTAGTGTTTAAAATTTTGCTGCTGATTACAATAATACTTTATTAGGCTGAATGTATTAAAATTTTGATCCGTAGAAAAACATTTAGTTGAACATCCCAAGAAAACTATCAATCATTTATGACTCGACAAAGAGACCAAATATTTGGTTGAGACAAATGCTTTGAACCTCTAAACACTTGTAGAAATATATTGACCTACAGACCAAAACTTCACCTTTAAATACTCCAAAAATCTTCGCATAAATGCAACGAAATGCTCAGCTTGGCGAATATTTCCAGGCACGGCTTCTGCAAAAAGATATAAATAAGAACATTGAAATGTGTTACTTTAACAGCAAATGGAATAGAAATAGAAGATCGTTTCAAAATTACTTTCTCAATAAAAACATGCAACTATTAATCAAAGTACATTTTTTCTGTGAAATGCAAATTATATCTAGACAGGCCTACCTTGTAGAATTTCATCTGGTAAAACTGGAAAAAAGTAAACATTAATAGATAAGATTGCATTCTTGTTGATGAATGTGATACAAGTGGAAAAATTATAAACTACTGTTTAAAATAGCATTATTTTACATCTGAAGTCTGGGCAGGTGCTAAATAAAGAAGTACAAGGTAGGTAGTGGCAGAACCCAGGTAGGTATCAAATATCAGGAATAACAAGGACAGAGAAAGAAAAAATGGAAGAGGAATTTTACAGAGAGAATAAGGGATAGCATCTAGTTAAATTAGTTTACAAAATAGAAATACAGCATCATCAAGCGTTCTTATAAATAAACAGACAGACATGGCTTTGTAAGGAAAAATTTTGCAAAAATTATTGTGAGGTTTTTATTGTACTGTATTAGGCTGCGTTGTATTGTATTGTAATATTGAATAATCTATCAACTTAAATGTGGGATAAAGAAATTGAAAAAAAAATTGTGTTTGTTTTGGCCATAGATTATGAAGAAAATATAGTTTTTGATTTTGAGTTCTGATTTACTGCTCTGTGTTTGGAAATCTTGACAAATCTGAATTGAATATCAAGCCTTAACTCGAAATCCCTGTCTAACGTCAACAAATAATTACAAATACACATAAAATGCTGGCTAAAGCAAATACGAAACTAAGCATATCTATTGAGTAAGGTAGTCCATCTATTTGATAACTGAAAAATATAAAACACCAAAAAGAGATTCGATTTTTCGGAAAGTTTTTTTTCGTAAAGAAACTTAAAAGGAATTCGCGCTAATTTACAAGCCCACGAAAGTGCTTAATACTGACAACAGAATACCTGGATTTGACAAATACATATCTGTTTCCCTCGCCACGTTTGCATCTCTTAGACCTATTAAAATAAATTCAAATTCAAAACGGCGCAAATCAAGCACAGAAGAAGAACACTATCATTACATCAAAATCATTGCAGACAATATGATTGCAAATATGGTCTTGGTGTTTAATTAAATTGGCTAATGCCTCCTATTCAAAGGATGAAAACAATCTCAAAGCCATTCACCCGTTCAAGTTTCTGTCTAAAAGGTAAAGTTTTCATTGAAACGCCTAATCTCAGGTCGGAAATAAACACGCTATTTCTGTTAACTTTTTTTCGGAATTTTCAAAAATCCTTCCCCCTCCCCCCCGCTTCTTATTTCAGCCCCCATTTAATCGACAAAGCATTCGACTAACATTTAAGACGTATTGAGTTGATATTGTATATTATCAATTTAACACTGTTGTGCACGTCTGTCTTGTAGGTAGCCTCACCTAACTGAATGGCTATGTGCTTTGCGAGACAGAGGGGGAGGGAGCCAACATTTTCACAAATGTTTTGGACTTTAAGCCCTCTCCCTCTGTTTGTTACCCCCACACCGTTTTTTACTTTTGGATTTGAGCATGAACCACCCCCCCCCCCGTGTTTATTTCATTCCTTCCCAGCTTATTCCCGACATCAGAGTACATCAAATGATAAAGAGAGTGCATCGAATACTTACCCTGAACCAGTCTCTCGTATTCTCCTTTAAGTCTTTGTTTATCATTCTCCTTCAGCCTAAAATTGATTGAAAAGAGATTACAGAATCTACAAGTCATTTTTCCATCGCAGTTATCATCATTCTTCGAGAAAGATCAGAAAAACGAACTCAAAATTTTATTGATGTAGGCTATGCACATGAAAACGTACAAAAATAAGTAACAGAAGATTTCATATTACTTAAATGTACGAGCACTCATCGAGCAGCGAAATGTACGGTCCTATATAAGCAATGTCACTCTGCTCGTGCTTCAGTTCCACAAACTTTGATCAGAAGCAGCGAGACAAATTTTGAAAGGTAACATTTCGTCTTAGGCTATAGAAGTCGTTATATTGTTAAGTGCTCGAACAAATATACAATACAACACAACACAAATACAACATACAACAATATACAAAGAAAATATGGTTGAAGTAAAAAGTTGAAATGAAACAAGGGAACAATTTGGCTCAGGGTGGGATTGCAAAATGAGTTTATGAAATGAGCCTTTTACTAAACCAACGAGGACGTACATTTAAGACGAACAGCAAGCATATCAACCTTGATTAACAAAGAAAAATCAATAACCAAGAAACACGGTAAACTTTAAAGGTCGTGGTCGACAATTTTTCAAAATTATCTAGGCGAAGTGGATACGAAGTCAAGAGCAGCACTTGTTTAATCAATCTACTAGCAAAATAAAAGCCAATCAAATCTCTGTTTCTAGTACGCAGATTGCACTCACTCTTGTATTGTTGAAGACAAAGATTCAATATTAGCATGACATCGATCCAAAGTTCTTCTGTTTATATTGACACTCATCGATTCTATGCACACATTGTCTAGAGTTTAAAGAGAAAGTCGTCGCAATTACAGCTGACGTTAGGCTTGATACACCTGCAAATTACTTCAATATCATATTTGTACAATAATACAAATTTGGATTTGAAATGATACACAACACGGTATCAGAAAGAGAATATTGTCATGCCAGTTGTTTTTAGGTAATACTCAATTAATACCGATGAAAATATAGAAGATGTCGTCATAGCTGTGGAAAATTGCCACAACACCTTGTGCCTAGCCCTAGAATTTATTAAATTTTCAATTTGGTTAAAAATGGTACTTTCTTAAACAAGGCATTCCAAGGATCGCAATGGAAAAACTAGAGGTGAAAATATTAAACAGTTCAATTTTGATAGCCATTTAAACATACCAAAAAAACTGATCTCGGAAATCAGGCTTATGATCCTTACGTCCACCAACCCATCCCTTCAAATCCCATGATTTTTGTTAGGAAACAGAAGCCGTTAGAATCGTCTGTCTTACTTTTTCAAATATTTAAAATTTTTTTGTGCTCTATTGAATATTGACTTGTGAATATTGTCATTTATTCACTCGGTCAATCAAACAACAAATGTATCAAATTTTACAGCACCATTTGCCACCAAATTCGGACTTATATGATACATATTGAAACCATAAAATCTTACAAACTTTTCCTCAAATTTTACCGGAAACTTTTCTGACTTAAGGTAATTTCCCAACGTGACGTCTGTTTTTTAAAAAAATTACTCATTCTCTTAACGATCCGCTGACAAAAACTGTAAAAAATGGATTGCTAGGCACCCTAACATGAACAATTAGGGTAATGACATAATCATATGATGGGAATATTGAGCGAATACATTAGTAATCGAGCTTTGGAGGCTAATTCCAATAAACTACCAATAAACTAAAACAAGTAAGGGGGGAGGTGGCAACACACCTTGAACGAATTTCCAATAAATCTTGAATATTTCCGGCAAAAAGTGATCTTACAACTAAAAATTATCAGTATCAAAATCACAAGTCTAATATTGAGCTGAGAGTAACTGGCAAAGGTGCAATTAATTTGCGAGTTCAAGATTAAAGGGAAGGTTTTGAATGCAGTATTATCATTGCAAACAAGAAAGAAATACTGTTCAAAAAATTTTTAAATGACAAACCCGGCTCTTTCCTAAAAATACTACTTTTTTTCATTACCGATTATATACTTGTACTGCAATGCCATGAAAACTGTGTCTTATAAATGCTTGTTAGGACAAGTATATAAATTATTGAATAAAGTTAGGGAAGGTGGTCTGGGGAGACCTAGGCACGAGACAGAGCGTACAGTGGGTTGAGAAAGGTGGTCTAGGAAGAACTAGGCACCTGTAACACCCAATTCGATAGTCTGTTATAGAAGTAAAACAAAACCGTTTTGAAAATTTTTGAGACGGGCTGCAGCCAGCACTTTTGAGACCCCTGCTAAAATATATTTGCGAGAAAAGGTGTCATACCAATGTTGTGCGCTTCATCAAACACAACGACAGAATTTTTAGCCATTTCTTTGGAAACCAGGTCGGCTATTTTCGGATCAAGCAAATAATGGTAGCTGTAAACCACAATATTTGCATGGGTAATCTGAAAGTAGAATAGAGATGAGGCAAACAAAAATCTTAAAGGTCAACAGAATTGCTCGCCATTGTTTATCCTGAAGAAGTAGACAGAGTCACGTCACAAGCTGTCAACATTATACACTCGTATCTTTCAAACCCAGTCCAAGACTCACTTGTCAATTAATATAAAATCAAAGGATGAATCTATCAATATACCTCGAGTTTATCGAAGTTTTCTATTTTAAAATGAAAATTGAACACTTAACGAGTTAATAAATAGCTCTCATTAGATGAACTTGCGTTCCAAGCAACAGATAAAGAAACTCTTGACCCAGTAACTTTAGAAGCATGCCAGGGTAATGCAGAAAGATAATAATGGGCCTGGCAAAAAATAATACACACACATACGATAAATTACATCTAATAATCTACACTGCAAATATTGTTTTGAAATTACCCAATGTATCATATATTTGCACGTATTGTTTTCCACATTTTATTCAATATTTATACTTACGGCGTAACGAGCTAAAAAATATGGGCACCAGTTGGCATCCTTGCCAAAAGTTTTCAAGTCATCCTACAAAAATAAGAAAATTCCCTACAATCAAACCAGTCCGATAAGAAGCCCGCCAGAAAAATTGGGAGTTCTTTTATCAACAGCTCATAAAGATTGATCCATAAAGATCAAAACACATGAATTCGGCAAATAACATCATAAAGCTGATATAAATTAGGATTTACCAAGTTGTAAACACCAGGTGGTATAGGCTCTTCTCTCCCTTCTGCGTCAAATGTCTACAAAAATTAGTATTCTTGTTGAGATGATGTGCCGTTAAATATTTGCAAAAACAGAGAAAAATAAGTGGATTAAAACCAAAAACGGTGCTTGGTCAATTACATTTATCAATGTTGATAGCTAAAGAGTCTCAGTTGGTTCCAATAAGCGTTTAAGGAGCTTGCAATGTAAGACAAAATTGTGTGAAGGTAGTTTTGGTAATTGCAATAAAGGATTCTTCAATGTGAATCTAATGAAGGTATAGATTTTTAAACCAGCACTGTAAAGGAATATATACTTTTCCCTATTAGGAACACCTCTTGTTGGCCTTAATTGTAATGAACCAGTGACTCAGTCGACTAAACAACAAACATAGCTTTTATGCAAATTTTATAAACCTAGATTTGAACCCTTGAGAAAATCCATAAAAATCTAGTTGCTACCTTTATGTACACACGTACACATTTTATGCAGTAAAAGGCAAGCTTTTGAAAACGAGTGAAACATTTCGATTTCGAATCTGCTTGGCTTGCTTAACGATAACGCTTAATGAGTAAAAATTAAACAAATTTGTTAAAAGAAAGCAAAGTATGTGGCTAAAATACCTCGTAGAATGAGCAAACAGGTACATTTTTGTCAGCTCTGTGACGAGCTCTGACATATGAAGCTGTTAGGCCATGACACATACTGTCTACTTTTTTCCCATCTCTTTCTGTTCCAATCTAAAATTATTCAAACAACGAAATGTATCGATAACTCTTTCGAAGGGGCATCGAGTCAGATAGAAACTAATTTATAGAGATAACAAAATCAGTCGAAAAAACCCTTTCAAGGGCTTTTAAGTGTAAATTGAGAAGCTCATCTTACCTGTGGGTGTATACATAAATTCTTTCTTGAGCTCAATGCTAAACTTGTAATCTTGGGTCGTGTGCCATCTTCTTTCTCGTAATAATTTAACAGCTTTTTAAGCTCTTCTAAAACCTAAAGTCAAAGGAGAAAAATCCGTAATGTAAAACAAAGGCTGGCACAAAAACTAGCCGTCTGAAACTACAAATATTTCTTAATACCTGAAACAAAACTTATTACCTAAATTTGTTCATATTACAGTGACTTATCTTCAAAGGCGGTTCGAGGGGAGAGGAAGTGGGGTTGGAAAATAATCGCCAATTTTGACAAGGCATGTTCTACCTAAATTTATATGAAAAGATAAAGACACATTTGATATGGAATGATTATAACCTTTTAGCATTTATTTATGAAGATTAAGGAGCAAAAATAAGGTGTTTCTCTGATATAGCATGGTCTCAAAATTTTGAGGTCATTTATTAAATGACCCACACCTCATTACGTATATGCTGCGGCGGTCCAGAGAAAAGAATAGCAGATATTTATATGTGAGAAAAATAAGTTATTGTTC